TGCTTCTTACAATAAACCTTGAGATGAGCTGTTGCAAGAAAGATAGTGATCAAATGCAAGATGAATTTTCAAAGTATAGCTGCAAATGATAATTTTGCTTGTTGTAAAATATATAGGTAATATATAATAGATATTTCTAAGAGAAAATCTAAACACAGCCGCATATTGTAATTTATACGCATTACTATAAATGATCATATCGTTGCGTTTTGTAATTTTGAGTTTGTGGAGGACATTATAAACGTGAAGATTTGCGTAAGATCGCAAAGACGGTTCGCGTGCAAAAGATTCGTCCGGTGTGATGTGTCGAAATAAATAGTAATAGTGGACTCCTCTCTATCGCGACGGGATATTTCGTTAAACAACGTTTACGTAAAGTGAAGCAGATCGCATTGGCCAACTGATAATTTGTTCGTTTTACGATTACAATCTGCAACGTTACGCGAAAGACTGGCTGCGCAAATTAGAGACACGTTCTACGATTGCAGCTAAATTGTCTTATAATTATAGATTCGATTATCGATATGCTACCACGTAATTGACGTGATTGTGCGAAACTAAAGTATATAAAGGAACATTATTACAGATACGATCGAAACGATTAAGAGAGGTAAATCGGATGTCTCATTCTCGTCGAAGTTATAATTAAAAAATTCTTCTAATTATCGCGTTTATTTCACAAACAGTCGTTATATTCGAAATACTCGACGCATATATATATTTGCGAGATGAAAGTCAGCCTTTCTTCCGCATTATCCCGCTTTGCGTTATCGCGATTTTAAATATGCGCGGTCTGGACAATAGTTTAATTGGACAACAACCGCGTGCGCAAATGTAATTAGTAGTTTGATATAATCGGCGATTATTCCGCGATAAACCGATGCGTCGTATATAATTAATTTCATTAAAAAGAATAATGGATTTTTCACTTAAGATAGTTGTTGATACCGATTTCTTTCCGACACACACGCGCTCTATTCTATTCCATATATACATATATACATATAGAAGAAGCATTCGCAAGATTTCCAGCTAATAATAGATTGCGTAATTTCCTCTCGCTCGAGAAATTAATTACATCTGCTCAACGACTATTTCCCACAAAATAACGAATTTTTGCTCGCGCCGTGTTCGCTCTGATATTCTCAGAGACAGGTTTCTGGAGAAAGTGAAAGATCACGTAGCATCCTTCACCTTCACCCATTGTCCTGTATATTTGCCTCGATCTCACTTTGTCCTCGAATGAGCAAAGATCGCGGAAAGATTAGATATATTTCCTCGCGAAATCGATCATCGACCAGCAGATGTGATGCAATTTCTTAATACATTCATTCGAAATTTAAAAGAGAGAGGATTTAAAGAATATATTTCGTATTATGAGCGGAAATCATTTCAGAAAGACAATAGAAACGGATATACGCGCAGATAATTCTTTTGAATCGTATATATGTGAATATATATATGTATTTTGAAATAACTTTTTACCATATATTTGCTATTCTACGCGATGCTTTGATATATTTTAACAAATGCATATCCTTTCACACGCACGTAGAATCATATTTACAAATGCAATTCTGTATCTCTGCACGCATATTTATTCTCGATATGCTCTAAATGTTTTCCTCGACAAGAAAAATATATATGGAATAAGAATAGTAAAATCGCGGCAATTGGAGCACCATTTTAACGAATGAAGAAACACAATGAGAAAAATTGCTTTTGCATACCTGCATACCGAGCTATACTTGATTTGTGATTTAAAGACAATCTCTAACAGATGCCAGAAAATTGTTGCAAAATAATAATAAATATATTTGCACTTATATAATTTTGCTATCTCAAAAGACAATTCAATGTAAATACTAGACGTAGTCAAAGAAGATTAAATAAGTCAAAATGTAAGACTAAAAAGCTCTTATATAAATTACAAAAGTCCGCGTAGAATGTATTGCGCGTTTTAACTTTTAATTATTTCTTCACCAAAAAAAAATCACAAAAAAATTATATTATATATATAACTTTTCGTTATATACTCATAGTATTATTTTAGAATACATTTTTTAAACAATCTTTAAAATTAATTGTTATAAAATAATTATATAAAATAAAATAATTGATATAAAAATGAGATTATGAAATGAGAGAGGAATATAGCGACAAATATAATACGCAATTTCTAACAAACATTATGCGAGGATAATCATGTCGTTACTCAAGCAAAGCGTGCGTTACGTTATAGCAAATATCGGTTGTATATCTAATCAGATAGAGAGATATTCCTCTTCTTCGACAAAGACGTTTTCTCGTTGTTCACGCATTAGAAAGTTCTTGTTTATACGCAGTGTGTGGGTACACGGAGTACATCGTCCGAGAGCGTCTCGGAAGAGGAGACAAACCGGAAGCTACTTCAGCTTGAATATCCGTCATATATATACATATTTCCTCTTATACGCGCATGGAATACTCTGCATGCACCATACATGGAAACTTGAACGTTTTCTCGGTGGCCCAAGTGAAAGGTTCTCCGATCGTTCCACACCGTTTGGATCCACTTCCGATATACCTTCTCGATTAACGACAATTATCTTCCGAGAAAGAAGGAATGCTTCCCTTTAAAGCGAATCAATTTAATACAGAGAAATTATTTATGTAAAATTCTTTCATTTCACATATGTAAAAGTTGTTGAAATTACAACAGAGAACGAAGAGAGAGACTTTTTATATTATATATTTATATATATTATATTAATATATATTATTTATATTTATATATTTATATTTTTATTTTATATTATATTGATATTTATATTATAATAAAAACGATTGAAGCATTAAGAAACTCTTCTTTTCTATAATACAAGTTTCTACACATTTATCATATAAATTCGATAATTGGAATTTATCATCTAAGGAATATTTTCTCAAAGTATATGTGCTTATTAAAAATTGTTTGAGTTCTTTTTAACTCGAAATTATAGAATCCTATAATATGCAATTTCACATACAGCGTTCCCTATAAAATCCGAATGAAAATCGATTTCAGAGAGAAATTTAGTAATTAGAATGAAAAACCACCAAAAGAAGAAAATATGCAAAATGGAACGTATTAAACTAGACGCGTAAAAGATGCGATAGAAGAGAGAAACCAGATAGGGGGTCAAAAGTCACTCTGTTAGTGGGTGAGCATTCGCTCGTTTCTACTTTCAATGCGTGCAATCTGTTGTTTTCTTATATTCTTCGAGTTTCTACTTAATCAGTTCGATCTACGAGGAGCTAAAGAAATGGCTAAATTAATCGAGCAATTGATATAAATATTTTTTTCGAAGGCAAGCTTGTAAAAGAACGCATTAAACGATGAAAATAGAGTAAATTAATATAGGTATATCTTATTAAACTTTAATTACAATAAAATACAAGTAAATTTAATTAAGTAAAAATTTTTGATGCTATAATTAATAAAGCAGTGTTCAAGTTTCGAGTGTGAGACGCGAGAATGATTAGCTCGTTCGTCCTCATGAGAGAAGACGAATGAAAAGCATAATTAATGCAAAGCGTGATTCTTTTCTTTCCCTTTTTGCATATACGATTATACCATCTTGCTCAGTGAAATTTCACTGAGATTGTCGAGAAAGATACCCCGAGGATTCGCGATGCAATAGGCGCACTGGCAACGATCCGGTTACGTCAGGCGCAGCAATTTCATTAAATCTGCATATATTCGAGTGATCTATGTGCTCGCGGAATTATTAAAGCGAATCTACGGAGAAATTTCGAAACGCAAATTCAATCAAACGTTAAAGCGCACATTGAGGAAACGCGCGTGAGAATGATGATGATTGATGTCATCTTTGATGTCATCAGACGTCTGAACCGATCTCATCGAAAGATATTATTTAATATTTTCTCTTAATCTCATAAAGAGTAGATGCATATGCAATATAATACAATAACTTTGCAACTGTTATAATCAAAATAATATAGCTAGAGATAATTTCATCTCTACGAAATCATTAATTTTATTATTTTTTTACTTAGAGTATTTTGATTTATATCTGCTATATTATTTATAATAATTTAGAGATTATCATGTACTTCTACATTCATTTTATTATGAAGAGTAAAAACAGATTTTTTGCTCAAATTAATTTTGTTATAAATAAAAGTTTCACGGTTATAAAATATAAAAATAATGAAACAATTTTCAATATATTGGCTTTCCCTACGTATTTTTTTCGTTTGCATTTATTCGAGTTTATCACTATAAATTGGCGATTTTTAAATGTGAGCATGGAAATGATCGATTTTATTTTATCACCGAGCAATTTGGAGTCATGATACGCGAATTAATGTACTGTGAAATTGCGAATAACTTCCACTTTGTGTTATCCCATCATCTCATGATCGACTCGACTAACAATAAGGTGCGAAGAATAGTGCGTTATATTTTCATATTTATAGACTTTCTGTTTTTTTTAAATAATGTAAAATTGCATTTTCTTGGTAAAAATTAATACAAGAGTCTGCAATATTATATATTAATGCTAATTCGTCTATTAAAATTGTAACACAAATTCGAATCACGATTAAGTGTGCGAAAGATTAGAGATGAATATTATCATGGCTTTTATTCAATTACTTCCGTTATGTAAATTTTTACCAGCCATTTGAAGAAAGTTTTTTGACACAAGGGAAAGTTTACAGCTAAAGCGATAGAGTTCATTAAAGAAAATGAAAGTAATTCTCTCGAAAATCGTCGCTCTAAGTAAATCCCTCATTTTTCGACTAACAATAAGTTTAAGTTAGTTGCAACGAATAAATATTATAAATGAATTTTCCTCGTTTTAATTCCAATCTCATTTAATAACAATATATATAGATATATATTGTAAGAGTTTGTAAGGTTGGGGAACGCTCCTTCAAAAGCGCCTTCAATCCCTTAGGGGACGAATAAAGAATTGAATATAGATATATATTCAATATATTGCTTTCTTACTCACCTGTTGAAAATGCGACGACAAATCGGGATTCAAAATCGGAGGATCAACTTCAGCGGCTACGAAGGTGCCCACCCTCAGTATCAACGCGGTCCATAAAAAGCACAAGTATCGCTGCTTCATCGCGGAAAATAGTTTTCCTTCTGCCTCTCAATCTCGACGTTCACACTACGACGGAAAAGCACCTGTTGTATTCTTCTTCGAATTTCACCAATTTCGATTTTACGTCTCAGAATTCTCTTGTATTAATTTACGAATACTCTCAGTAATCTCGGTTGTTATTTACGATCCTCGTAAATGAAAATGAGATTCACCTTTCTTTTAACTATCTCGCTGAGATCGGACGACGTTCTCCTTATTGTCTTCACGTTTGTTTTAATTTCTTCGATCTTATCAGTATCGTGTTCTCGTCTAATGGCGCGGAAGAAATTCTCGCCTTTGCGCGTCTTCCAAGACACACACCAGCATTGAATTTTAGCGCAGCTTCCTTCCTTTCTTCCTTCCTTCCTTCCCGATTTAGGAAGAGACGAGAGAGATCAGGAAAAGGCTGCCAGCTGGGTTTAATGAGTTCGCACGTCGACGAGAACGAGTTCGGGACTGTTGAAGATCAGAAAACGTCCGAGAGTTTTACTTCTCCGATCTGGGAAGAGTTCTCGCGGTCCGCCAGGTGGGAGAGACGGCCACCAGGTAGAACGCGGTGAACGTTACGAACAAGGAACCCACTTCTTCTCTCGGTCAATTTTCCTCCGGCCAGGTATGCTCTGTAATATCGATTAGATGAGATAAAAACACAGAAAGAAAGAGAGAGAGAGAGAGATAGAGAGAGAGAGCTTTCTTCGCGCGCGTACAATAACATCAATCGAGAGAATCAAAGAATCTTTAAACTAAGCATATATACTTTGAGTGAAACGCTTCAAAGTACATGTTAAAATTTAACAAAAAATTACTCAGCTTGGCCACGAGATTATTTTGACAATATATAATATTTATTATCTATGTATGTATAAAAAGAGAAAAAACGTGTAATCGTACGTAATTTATATTCGCAAGTGTGTGAAAATTATTATATGTATATAACTTGCAATCTCTTAATAACTGTTTAATTCAATTTTTCATCGTTTCACACAATAAAAATATTGTTCTATTGTTGCATTTCAATTAAACTAATAAAAAAATTGTTTTTATTAGTATCCTAATTAATATCTCGACTATATTTTGCGCACATATTTTTTGCCATTACATAAAATATATCCGTGAATAAAATTATATATACATAGAATAAGAAAGTGACACGCTTCAGTTTAATAACTCGCAATAAACTTTCGGAAGATCAAAGAATAGGCATTCGCAAGAAGCAGTTGTTTAATCGTGGCGATAATTGAAGCGACAAAAAATTCTTTCGTATTCCGTATTTTATATTTCTTCATCGCTAAATAAACGAGATCGAAAGACATTATATAAAATAATCCTTGGATTTTATCCGCCCGCACAACTTATTACTTAACACCGATCGAGATCGAGCGGAAAACTTAAACGGATATCGCGGTTCATTATACAATTCCGTCCAAAACAATGTTCCGAAGAACAAGCAATTGCGCGACGTGCTGTTTTAAAGGTGCTTTTTTCGTGCAACGCTTCCTGCGCATAATATAACATAATTTTATTCGCAGCCTGGCAAAATAATCTCGCAGAAATGTGCCGCTTTATTAATGTGCATTATTCTTTTAAATGTTTCCTTTCGCTTTTGCATTATATAAATTTTAATAAAATTATTACGTCGATTAACTTACAAATTGTACTTGATGCTTTTATGACCTCATGTAAAGATATATATTTCTTCGTAATAAATACACTTTATAATATTTTCAAACCCTTTTCTTAACAGGTATAATATAAACTGATAATGATGCCACGGTGATAAACTAATATAAAATGAAAATACCGAGGTCTCTATTGGATCTTATATCATCACGAATATAGAGTGTTAGCATAAGCCTTACGAAAGTCCTATCATTACAAATGAAAAAATGTTGGAATTTTAGTTAGAGGACGAAGCGAGCGCGTGAAGCAACCGAAGCGTGCTCGAGAGCAACGGGAAGAGCCGGTTCGTGCAACAAAATGATGACTAATGATGTACGCAACGAATGCAGCGATGTTATTATAGAGAATCAAGATCATGCGATACGTACTCGTTCACGATCAGCGTCCATTGGTCATCGTCACGAAACGTTACTTTCTGATTAAGCAGCTAAAATTCTCTCGGAATCGCTCCGGGCGACGAAAACGAGCCCGTTTACAACAAATCTTCCTTTCTCCACTCTCGATTGTATGAGTTTCGTTTTGAATCGATTGCCCACTTCAAAGAAGGATTCGTGACACGGGAAAGCTCGTCGACATTTAATCAAAGTATCTTCAAATACTTCTTCAGATACACCACCTGATTGACTAATCCTGGTGACAAATTTCTTGAATGCGAGCGCGTCGACTTTCTCTCTGAAAACTTGAACAAAACCATATTTTTAGTATCTTTTAAATTAATTAAATTATAATAAAAACAAAAATATATTTAAATGGATAAAATTTTGATATACAATCACGCATTGAAGACTCGACATAGCTTGAATAAAAAAGTTTTCATTTTTTAATTATAATTAAATCAATATCTTAGCAGTGAAATAACTTCATAATTTTAATGCAATATAATAAAAATTTTTACTCGATAAATAATTTTATTCTCAAAGTATGCAAAGTTTTATTTTTGATACTATGACTTGAATAAAATCTCGAAATGAATAAAAAATGCACATCCATATTCTCATAAACTTAGTCTTATATAATAGGTATATAGTAACCCATTTTGCAAAACTTGTTTTTATTGTAAATAAAACTATTTATCTATCTATCTATCGTGCTAATTTTCTATCATTTGCATTCTAAATATCGCGTACTAAGTTGTCGCATATGCAGTTTTCAAGGCACATTACGAAATCTGGAAAACATAAATAATTAAACGAGAGCAAGAATAATTTTCATATAAAAGTTTGCATGATTTATTATTTCAAGCTGGTCGATTACTTTCGATCACACTGCATTTAATTAAATTATATTAAAATATTGATGTGTGACGCTATAATATCATTTCTCAATATTATGATTATGTCTATATCGATTCTTAAGATTGCAACTAGATTGATAAGTTCGATCTTTTGAAATCTTATATAAATATTCTCATATTTCAAAAAATGTTTCAATTTTTTATATAAGTCTTACGCGCAAATGATTTTGTCGATATATGTTATTGACATTATTTTAAATCCATTTGATTTATTTCTTATTTCTTTAAAATTTTTTAAATATTATGAGATAAAAAACTTGTTATAAAGAAAAAAGCATACAAAACTATTTAAAAAAATAAATCAAGTAAAATAATTATATAAAAAACGTTTGTACAATTTGTTGATTAATTTGATATCACGAAATTATGATGTTATGATGCTTTTCAATTGTAAAATACCAATTAAGACATTAAGAGAGTTGCATTACGTAAGATAACATAACGTTGTCGTAAACTTATCACGAGACATCTGCCATGTCTGCTACGTGAAAAGTATTGTGTGGATATATGTACGACTATATCATGTTTGAGAAAGAGGCTTTCCTGTCCGTATACGTGTACGAATCCTCGTTAAAAAGCGTTTCACTCGAATGAAAGGGAGCGGAAGCAATTTTAATGAGACGAGAATCATGCGATTCCTTATATATATCGAGAGATCTTTTCAACCTTTTAGTAGCATACAAAAATTATAAAAGTATCACAGAATAATAATCGAATATCAATATCAAATAACTTCCCAGAATAAAACTTAATTAAGAAATTTATCGTAGAAACCTATATGTATTTTAGAAAGGTGTTTTGTAATCCAGTTGTGTAGGCGATTATGATATATGTACATCCTATTATTGGTATTTTGACAGGGGCTGATGATGCGTTGCTTTTTGTGCAGAAGCGAACGATTAATCGGCAAGAGATTCTTTCAAGAGATTTTATTGTTATTCTGTTCTTCTAAAAATCAATTGACACTGTATATTTTTTTATAGCCCTTTCTCTAAAATTTCCAATATTAAAATCTAAATATATAAAATAACAATTTATTTAATTATAGTATATATATATATACACACACCTAATTACTTATTTATTTATCTGATATCTACTATCAATTTTATTCAACCTATTACAATGTTTTTTGTAAAAATAGTTTTTGTGTTTGTTTAAAAATTATTAATTTAATACATAGACGCTTAATATAAAATTATATATAATTTTTTATACTCACTCCATGTTTCACCACTTTGACAAGAAACTCCTTTTTCATAGTAGTAGTAGTAGTAGTAGTTTTTCTATCTACATGCATTCCATTCGACATAAGCGAATTCTTATACTTCATTATCCTGTCACAAATTGTTAAAAGTTTTCAATGATAATTATCATAATATCATCATATATACATATAACAAAAGAGTAAAAAAAGCATTAAACAAACTTCTTCATTTTGTAAAATCTCAAATAAATTTTTTTACAGTCAATTGTGCAAAATTAAAAATAATAACAATAGTTTGTCTGTGAGATAATCTGTTTATCTTTGAGGTAATCTGTGAGGCAATATGTTAAATAATAATAATTCTGTCGTGTAAAAAAAAAAGAAGAAACGCTCGAACGTTTCTTTCGCACGTCTCAATCTTCGAGTTTGCGACTATCACCTTTGCGGACATTTTTCTGGTCGCCAAGGTAATTGCTCGGATAATTTGCCGCCAACGCGTTCGCCGACATCGTGGCCGCATTGCACCGCAATAATATCGCGTTATAAACTGCAGTACACTGTACTTTCCAACTATCTAATTAGGTCACCAAATATGGTGACACACACACAAGGAAGGAGAATATTAGTAGAGAAGAAAAGATACAAGAGAGCTAAAAATATTTTTTTCTGTTTTTAGAATAAATATAAATATAATTTCCTTCTCAATTCTTATTTATACTGATTAATGCTTTTTTTCAATGCAATTTAAATTTAATCATTGATTATAATATAATATATACTTGTAAAATATGGCCAACATTAAAATTTCAAATTATATATAAAATATAAATCAAAATTTAAATCATATTAGTAAAAATGAACATAAGTTTAGGTACACGCACATACAATATGTATGTGTTATTACTGTTATTAGTTTCCTTGAATAAAAAATTAAACATGTTAAAAATCTGTTATATAATTTTTATGCTTATATATTTTGTTATTATATATACATACACACATATATGTATGTGTGTGTGTGTGTGTACATATATATATATATATATATATATACACACACTTGTGTGTTAGACATATATATACTGTCTTAGACTGTGTATATATATGTATATATAATATTGAGTTATGTATACATACTTGTATAATTGGCAAAATATATTGATTCCAAAAAAGAGATAAAAAATAAATTGATATAATAACTTTTTCTCTAATATTTCCTTATATCAAAATATAGATATGTAAAATAACAGTTTAATCAAGTCATTTTTTTTCTCTCCGCAATAAATCAAATTCAATAAAAATTATTTACATTTTATGTCTATCAGTATGGTGAATTTGTTCTTTTCACAAAAGATATACCAGAAAAATTACTTCAGAATTTAAATACACATAATCTCATTATGTAGTTTATCGGTATATAAAATATGAGAAAATAATTATTGCATAATAATTATAGAAAAAATTGACTTTAGATCTTCTTAAAAAATCTATACTATATAAACAATTATATATATGTATATATATACAATTCTTAAATCAAATGTAAAATTAAACATATTCAAAGTAAAGTTACCATTTGTCTGTGCGTCTGATCATCAACACTTGTTCTGGTTTTTCCATTGTATTATTCATTCGTTAACTTCGATTTTTTGATGTTCGAAATTGCAACATTTATTGTTATATATTGTTATATAACAGGAGATTGTGTTTTAATTATCTAACACTTCACTTGAAATAATCGCAGTAACTTTTCGCGAATAAAAATTCGTTGTAATTTAAATTCGACTCTGCGATATCTAGCAGTACATTTAACAACCAATTGCGATGAAAACTTTATCGACGAATGGTAATGAGATTCATACTGAAATCAGAGTACAATTTGACTATATATATTATACCGTAATAAAAATTTTCTAATGCTTGACTCTCTAACATTAACAATACCTCATCGATGTTTATATACATAATAAAACAGAAAACTGTTCAATGCAAAAATTGTTGAATTTTATTGTATGCACAAAAAAATTCAAATTATTTGCTAATATTTCACCAGACAATCTTCCATTGCCCAGTTGTTGCACATTTCTTATTAGTCTTACATAATTGATTAAATGTAGTTTCAGGTAAAAAACCAATAATCTCTCTATCTTCTTGTATTCTGAATGTAAATGTTGATTCAGGCGTACCTATGAAATATCTAATTACAAGAAAAAAAGAAAAAAAGTTGTTTGAAACTTGTGCATCTTACAAGCGTTTATAGAAAATAGTTTATAAATATAAATAGCCTGTATTATTAAAATTAAACTCATAGTTGATTTTTATATAATTACATTAGATATTTATATAATTGCAATTATATAAATATGCTTACCTGGCATATGAACAAATTATCTGATCGATAATGGCGATTCCACCGTCTTTAAATTTATTCATTACATAATCAGACGGTGTAAATTTCAAGACTTTGTATTGAGGTAAATACGACTTAAGTTCTTCAAATTCTGGAAATTTCATATATAATTAATATATAATAAATTAAATATATATGTATAATAAATAGCATATAAAATATCATATAATATTATTTAATTTATATAAGTTTAAAAAATCTTTTGACAATTTTAAAGAATATGTAGAGTAGAGTTTAACTTATAAAATAAAATAAATGTACCATGTGCCTCCCCATCTGTTGCAACAAACAACACTGTTAGTCCAAGTTCATCCATTTTATCTCGTAATTGAGAAGCAGCGTCATTTATTGTTGGTATTGACGCCTTGTAACTTATAATAAAATCGCGTCTTCTAAGATGAACTGCTAAAAATGGACCGCCCCTTGCATTCCGCTGCCTCTAAAATTAAAATAATTAGTAATTTATCATCACTAATAAAAAAAACAAATAACAATTAATATAACAACCTTTTCTTTAGTCCAATCTGCAGGTCGATCTGTATTGTCATTCTCATCTGTAGAATTCAGATAAGTTTTTCTATAATTTTTCGCGATATTATACAGTTCAGAATTATAGCGCATGCTGCGTCTGGCTTTCCAATATTCTTTAGAGCCATATTCATCATGCAGAGCAATTTCCATATGATCAAACATTATTGATCTGTAAACAGAAAAATGTTCTGATAAAAGTGTAAAAATTTTATTTTTTATTTTAAAAGAAAATAGAGAAATATATTTACTTGTATTGTGTTGGTTTGAGATTCTGATAAAGATAGGATGCTGTACCATGAAACTTGAGACATTTGACATTCTGAGTTGTAATATTATGATAGCCCCAAAATGGACCAGTGTATGTATGGTGTTTTAATTTATAGTATTTTAAAGAATCACCAGTACATTCACTCACTTCATTCTTATCTTCAAATTTACCCGTCTTAAACATTTCTTCATCATTTTGTAAAATATATACACTATCGAGTTGTATTTCTTTGCTTCCAGATGAATACTCTGAAAATTCAAATTATTATAATTTTATTTATATAATATGATATCATATATATAAATCAAATATATACCTTCTATAAATTTGTACATTTCAATAACAGGTATATACCGTTGTAGGCTCGTTATATCAAAAAAGTTACCCCAGAATAGATATTCTTGAAATCCCATATTCTGATGTCGCCAATGATATAAATTACCTAAAAATATAAGAAACACAATAAATATAAATAATTATAAAATCTATAAAACGTATTATTTTCTCATATTACCCCATGGTGGTAAAACTAGTTGCCACTGATATTTCTTATCTCTTTCAATTAATTTTTTAATAAAAACGGCAAGACGAATATATACATCTCTTCTCAGATTAAAACCTTCTGGAGGATTTATGTCATAAAGGATATAACTGTAAAAAAACAAAAATCACATTGTAAATCTCTATGTAAAAAAATTAATAAAAATTGAGAATATATAAATAACAAAGTTTCTTTAAAAAAAAATAGAATTAAACGCGCGAAAATAAAATAATTCAACAATTTTAAACTTTTTATTCCTGTCACATGAATTACATATATAAAATTTCAATTCTAACCGTTTTTGCGAAAAGTTGTTTTGAATAGAACATTTTTTCGAATTTCCAGCATATTTGTCCGATACTTCACAAAATTCAAGTTCGTTGCCATTTACGATAAAAGCAAAAATTAAAATAACAAGATGCAGAACTTGAAAGATAGGCATTTTCCAATTACATGCAAATTTGTTTCGTTTACAGTTTGATGTTTTTGATTTTGGAAATGAAATAACAGTGTGTTCTTTTTAAATACACTTGCGTTCTTGGAAAAATAAAGTAACGTTTGATTGGGTATCAGTTAGGAAAATTGTGAGAACTTAGAAAATTCCCTATTTTTTAGCCAATTGCGTAACACGTGTTTATTTGCGTTTATATTTCTATCTCTAATCTTTTTGCCACATGCGGTTATCCTTGTACATAAATTTGTCATATATGCTTTACGAAGGATTGCCCCGATTGCCCGGCTTTTTATGCAGGCAGAAGCGAGTTTGATTTTGCGTAGGTTAGTTCACGATGATCTAACGTGACATACTTTGCCCGATTTATCTCTCGTTTGTTTTTATCACGTCGATTTGATTGGCTATCTGTCTTTTGTCTAACAGATTTTATTTATCAAATTGACAATCGGGAGCAAGCAAAGTTTGTAATTATTGTAACAAATAATGCATCACGTAAAATTATGAAGTGCTACGAGGTAACTGGTTTTCGTATATTTGATATAATTTTGGGAAACAGAGTGATTCATACAATTAAACTAAAATAGATGTAATCTATAAATACGTAAAAAATATATATATAATGTGTATATTTAACAGAATCCTGATTGTGTGCCTTTGGAGGAACTGCAATTAAATATTAAAAATGATGGTGTGATTGTTGTAATAAATGCATTGGTATGTTAATTTTTACACTGTAACAATATTTAAAAATTGTATTATAAGTGCTTGATAATGAGTCTTATAATGCACATCCATATATATATATATATATATATATAGTAAATAATTTTATATATTATTAAACATTAAATTCTTTAGAATGCAAGATGGGCAGATGATCGTTATTTTTTACGTTACAAAGTGCCAGAAATATACAATGATGATGGATCAGAAATTATGGGTGCTAGAGAATATTGGATAGAAGTTATGAGTTACATCATTGAAGATTTAAAGTGGTTGCTTGATCTTCCATTTTATCGGTATGATATATAGTACTTATGTAATATTTTTATAATATTAATACATATACAATTATTATGAATTTTCTTTTTCTTTAGATTTTGGTCCAACATTGTATACAATACTTCTATTATTGATTCATTAGTATCTTTTTTACAAGAGGCACCACCTTTTTATGCCTTAGAAAATTTTCCTAATGAGCCAGGAATGTTTGAAGCATTAGAGAAACTTCGTTACAATGTACTTATGGTTTTTGCACGTCTTGCTACAAACAAAGAAAGTTCGACAGAATACATGAGCCGTCTATTTCTTGGAAATTTATTATATGACAATTACATATTCACAATACCAATTATATTTGATTTATGTCAGCTGTATGGTAGAGAAAATACTAAAGTAATAGAAAAAATCATATTTAGCATATTTACTCTACAACCTATGTACAATGATGATCTTAAAAAATCTGTGACATGTCTCATAAAGGTAATGTATGATTTTTAATATTTTAGAAAAGTATTAGTAGTTCAAAAATCTATTAATGTTTTGTGTCACATTTTGATTATTGGTAATTATGTCAGAATTGTTACTTTCATAAATATATATATATATATAAGCAGATATAATTTTTAGAATTTTTTAAAGAAATATATATGTATATGATATCAGTAATTGTTGTTTGACTAAAAGTTGCATAAAAATGTATAATATAGATTATAAAATTATAGATTTATTTTTACATTTAATTCTTTTTATTAATGTAGGCTTTTGAAAATGTCGAACGAAGATTTGAAGATTGTCTAGACCATGCAACTGAAGCAGTGGTACTTGCAGAGAGGGCAAATGATTCCATAGAGATGACATTATATAATTTAGAGGATTTGATATTATACATTTTAGATGTGTCATCAACTCTGAGTATATTATTAAAAAGTTACCCTCCAGTAACTGCCACATTTCACAGAGATGACTTTATAAACAAGTATAAATAAGTTTTACTTTATTACATTTAACTAAATAGAATATAGATTTTATTTCAATTTGTTTAGAAATGTACTTGTATCTTTTACTTTATTTTATTTAATCAATCTTGTTAATAATTAAGAATTTTTACCAAGTTTATTCTCTACTACATTTATACATATACATTTTGTTCAAATATTATATATTATTACTATGTTATATTTCAGAATAATTTCATTTTATGGTAATACAATACCTGAAATATATAAAAAATTAGACAAGTTAGCATACAATGACGAAAATATGCCAAAGTACATCGAATTGAAGCACCGTCTTGATGTAACTAGAGTGGAAATGTTAAGCCTTTATAGAATTATTGTCTATGAACCTATATTGAATATTCAGGAAAACATGTAAGCAGGGGAAAATGTCGTTTTTAAATACGTAAATAATTACAGATATGATTTAGTTGCTAATGATGTTATTTCTATCTTCTCTCGGAACAGGATAATGGAAAGTGAGATAAGAAATTGTATAGATGAATATTTAAATTTATTGATGAATGCTATTTCCGAAAAAGAATTCATTATCGATTATCATGAATTTTATCCAATTAATACTGATCTTGAAACTATTTCCTCACTCCACCCTGAAATGTATCCTTTTTAAAGACATTATTAAATATTTACATAATTAATATAATATTACAATAATATAAGAAAAATTTGTATGTTATTCTAGTATTCTTTACATCATATAGTATTCTTTGCTGACAGTGATACAATAAAATGTGAATATATCTTACAATCATTATATGCATCGACTGGAGATACTAAAACAGTGGTTAATTTATCTCATAATAATGCAAATGTAAATCTTTAAACATACAGATAATATTTTAAAATGTGTAAAAGTCCTATTACATTATTATGTATGTAGGTAGCTGTTGCTGGTTCTAGCACTGTTCAAAGCAGTCAACGGGAAGAACATTGCAATAATGTGAATTACATTAATAATGAGATAGAATCTACTTCAGAAGATCCTGACAAATTGATGTCTCTCATCTCAAATGTGAGAGAAATTTTATGTGATTGTGGTCCAGGTTTCATACAGGTAAAAATGTTGTATGTTTATATTTGATTAATTTAATTTAATAAATTGAAGAATACAAATTATGTGTAGTATTTGTATAAATTTATGTGGTGTCTTAAAACTTACAGCAATGCTTAAAATACTACAATTATGATGTTGCATCTGTGGTAAATGCAGTTATAGAAAATAATTTACCATCTAATTTAAAAGAAATAGATAAGACATTACCATATATACCACCAGATCCAATGGTAATTAATAAAATAAATTTTATGCTGTAACAATATATTTTGTATAAAGCAGGAAAAATTAATTTACATTATATATTTTTAGGAAGCATCAGCTGCTGTAGATGCAGCGATTGGTATTCAAAGGTTAAATATTTTCGATAATGATGAATTTGATGTTATGACAAAAGATATTATAGACACGTCGAAGATTTATATGGGAAAAAAGTAAGTTATTAAATTTTTCGTAACAAAACTTATATCGAAGAGTTTTTTTGTATTATGCGACTCTATTAAATGCAGTATAATCTTCTATTCTGGAATAATTGTTCTGTTCTGTAAATTGAAATAATTATATAATGATAATCATGAGAATGAGTAAAAAGAATCAAGTATAAACATACTAAAAAGAATTAATATAAACATACAAAACTGTTTCAAATGTTTTTACCTTGTATATATATCGTTAGAATAATTGAAAGAACAAGATGAGGATCACGAACAAAAATTCCAGAATAGATGGACAATTTGATCCTGATATAATTTGAAAATAAAATAGTTATATCATCCATCTTTTTTTTGTTAGACAAGAAAAATATAAAAATGCAAATGAAATGTTAAACGATAAATCTGAAATCAAAAAATCCCGGGAAATTTATGAGAAGTACAGTATTGTTGATGATTATGATGATGAATATGATGATACATATGACAGCCATAACATTCGTGGCAATGTGCCGGATGATTCTACAGAAATAGATGCCAGACCATTTACTATGCCAAGGGTTAGTTTGAGTATATTATTTTTACCTTCAATCTACAATCGCTATATAAATTTTGCCTTTTATGTAATTTTTTTTTATATTTAGGTACTTCGTGCACGTGATAAAAATAATGTTAGTTCCGAAGATGAAAATGAAGTTGAAGATGAGAAGCCAGTGCAGAATGACCAGTTTGTACAGAATCCAGTGGAATCACGTGCTAAAGCTGAACAGCAAAGACAATTGGCAAGAGATGGCAAAAATACGCGTGATGTAGTTGGTATGTTGCAAATTGATTTATATAATTTATTTAATCTGCTTGTGTAAATTCATAAATTAAAAAACTTTCGGGGCTACCTTAGATGCAAAAAAATTTGTATTATTGAGTATACACTTATATCTTTAATTTTTTATTTAAGGCAACTCCAAAGGCCAAGGGCAAAATAAAGATGTGACTAATAGACATAAGAAAAATGTATACAAAGGTACGCAGAGTTACAATCGTCGCATGGGTTCTCAATATAAAAAAAGACAAGGAATGGTTCCATCTTAGAAAAGGGCGTATTTTTAACGTGAAAAGTCTACAATGTACATACTGCCAAGCACAATGAATATATTTATATAATTATTTAACACAGCATTCCACAAAATACAAAAAACATTCTTTTAACAATGCTTACCACAATCATTTGTCTATTTGGTATTGTTATTCTTAACAAAGAACTTTAACAAATGAATATATATTTTTATTTTAAAATAATCTTGTCTTATAAATATATATATTTAAAGTTGTATGGTATAAGAAATATTTCTGGAGAAAAGAGTTACATTCATTTAATGGTCCTTTACTATAGTTAATGCCCTCAACCTATTTAATTCAGTGCTTACAACTTGCTGATATTCCTCATCAGTTACTGTTGAACTCAATGCAAATTCGGAAGAATATCGAACAGGCATCAATTGAGTGTATAATTGCGTTGTATGACCATAATAATTTAATTGTATCATAATCACAGCGTGAATACTCGGATTGATGTATTCTAATCTTTTCTCGAGAAACGCCGGTAACTCTGTAAGCAATTGAGTGTGTACAGTCTTCAATTCTTTAGAGGCTGCTTCTTCTGCTCTGCGTTCTCTTTCCAGTTTTGCAATATGACTCGCAGTTCTATCTTTCTTCTCTTGCAACTTCTTCACACGATTATGCAAGTATTTCCATGTAGTTACAAGATCTTCGCGTTTTGTTAACGCCGCAGCAATAGTAACAAATTCATTTCTAAACTTTTTCAGAGGTTCTATGAAAGTCTTATGGCACAAACTAGTCATTTCTTGAACGTTTTTTCCCACCTAATGATTTAAAAATATAGTATGAGTTATATTTTCTTGAGATTATTAAGAATATCACTAAATGTTAACTTACTTGTGCAGCAACAGAAAAGTACTCCTCCACTATTTTTCTATATTCATCGTTATTCTGTGCTAATCCACAACTGATGAGATTCATGCTTAATCGTTGGTCTGCTCTATCCAAATTTGCCAAAGCTCCTATATATTTCTTCATCTCCTTAGTTAGTTTTCTTATTGTGCTTTCGATACTTGAAACAGAACACAAATATATTGTACTACTTTAAAATTTTTTTGAAGATATTCATGCCGAATCCAATATACAAGTAGACATATATGAAAACAGAAATTAATTGCGTCGCAATTGCAAATTGTCATGGAAAGTAGTTTGTGTTGTGTAAATACAAATAATTGTTCTATACAATTATATCAATTTTCATTAAAAATACATACTAGATGAGTCTTTGAACAACGAGATCTAATTCTTGATCTTCCACATGGGATAAAAGTGGTGGTGCAAAAGTTGGCCTCTGAGTTAGATAGTTTTTCTTTAAAGGATTCCTATTAGGGCGTAAAACATAATAAATATATTGTATAAGTTTCCAATCTAACATATATATGTACATATAAAAAAAACATTTAAATTATTTTACAAATTTATTAGTTTACTCACCACGTCATATTTAATGCCAATTACCAATAAGTGTTATAAGAATTGTTTACGTCACATAATAATAATTGTGAAACCGAATAAAAACAAATTTATAAAAAACGTTATTGTTGTTATCGTTAATTTTCATCTGTATATTTTAATTGTCATAAGCAATTCGCAACAGGCGATATTTAATATATTTGTATGTATGTATTCTCTTTCTCTTCTATTCGCGCCTGCGCGTTGACGTTCTCAGAGCATCAGCTGATTAGATCAGTCAGTGGTGGTGATATATATTATATATATATATCGGTAATCACAGTGGCATCATCGAAATTAGAATTTTAGTTGTCAGTTAGTATACAGTGCGAAAAATATTGAAAGATTGCGTAGAAAATATAAAAATTTAAGTACCAAAGTACCAAGATGTTTCCGGCTTACGCACATTTGTCAGCTTACGACAGACACAAGAAACTCATAAACGATTATATGACACTTTATGGAAAATCTACGTCGTTATTGAAACGGGATACGTAAGTTAAATTTTTCATTTTATTATTTAAATGGAAGCTTTTATATTTTATATTATTAGAAAAACATATTTTACTGCTTATACATCTTAGATTATTTTTAATCTGCTTAATTCCACTTTTAAAATTATTTTGATACAAATATACTTATTTCTTTTTTTTCGATTCGAAGATTAAATATATTAAAAAGAACATTTTTAAAAATGACTGGCCAATTGTTGCCAGTTTATTTTACTGATAACGTACACATCATTATACACTATAAAGCTAGGAAACTTGATCATCTTGTACCTTTATTTGCAATCATGTTGAATTGTTCAACTTTTACTTTACTTATTTATATTGTTTACAATGTTTATTCTTTTAGGCTTTTGAAATTTGCTTTATATTAATGTTGACTTTTATTTCAATTATATTCCTTCCACTTATTTTCAATTATCACACAGTTCTCTTTTCCATTTCACACATTATACATCAAAATTTTTTGTTATATTTTATTATAAAAATTTAGTCCTCTTTTTCTATCTATTCTTTATATTTCTTTATTCCAAATTGCTGCAATTTTTCATGTTGCTCATAATTTTATTTAATTCTACTTCTTTTTACTTGCTTTATTCATTTTATTTGAATTAATTAGCTAAGTACTTGGGCTATTTTCATTGACTTCTATATGCATTGACAGATTATTTTTGTTAGTATTGCAGTTAGATATTATATCAGCATGCTAGCAATAGTCTCGCCTTTTATTGTAAATGTATAAAAGCATATTATTGCCAAATGATCATCTGCTATGGATTACTTTGAACAATAAAGAAAGATTATTATAATACATCTAAACACGTACATTACACAGACTGTAATTTCTTAACAGCACAGCTTTGATAAATATCTACGACATTTCCTTGCGACAGATTTATTACTAAGTAAAAGTTGTAACTGCATAAACTTTGTAACAAGCAGCTCTTGAAGTTTCGACCTGTTTTGAGGTCTCGGGACAAAACTGACTATGATGTTATCAGAGAGAATCACAAGTTTCTCTGGGACCAGGAAAAGGATATTCCAGACACATGGGGTGCAAAATTAGCTAAAAAATATTATGATAAATTATTCAAGGAATATTGCATATGCGATCTCACATATTACAAACATAATAAGGTATGAGACACATATCTCTTCATATTTTACTTTATTATCTTGCGCATATGAGTATGCATTTTGATTAGATTACAAAAATTATTTTCATTATTATTTGTGCAATATTTAGGTCGCTATGAGATGGAGAACTGAGAAGGAAGTAATAACTGGAAAAGGACAATTTGAATGTGGTAGTAAAACGTGCAATAACAAGGAAGATTTGCGTTCCTGGGAACTTAATTTTGGCTATGTAGAACATGGTGAAAAAAAGAACGCTTTAGTAAAATTAAGTATGTTATTAAATTAAAAATAGTTGTACGTTGGGATAAGGGACTTGTATAAAATAATGACTTGTTTTTACATTAAGGGCTTTGTCCAGAATGTTCGATAAAACTTAATTATGGATCTCAAAAACGTGAGGTGAAAAGGAAAAAATCTTTGAAACGTTTGGGTACAAATCTAGAAAGTAGTAGTGCTACGTCTGTTACACCCGATAATCGAGAATCGGAGCATAAAGCAGAGACAGATCCTAGTTCAGTTGAAGCACAAAATAATACCGAAAACACTGATACTGATGAATCAAATATTTGGAAAGAAAAGCCAACAGAAGACATGGAAAAGACGAGAGAAAAAGAATTTGAAAAGTATTTGGAAGATTTGTTCATGTGAATATAAGGTTTTTTAATTATGTGATTTTATTGTAAATGAATATCGAGGAAAAGTTTGTTAGATTTGCGATTTCTTGCTTGTATGTATAGCTATCAGCAACATAAATATATTATCATTAATTGTAAAATTGTTATAATAAAATATTTTATATGAAGGATACACACGTACACACATACATTTGATTTTTTCAGTTTTTTCATTATTATACATCATATAACAGTTTACATTGTATACAAAGAGAAATAGAATATTGTCTTATCCTTTTTTTAGCATAAGGCCTATCTATTGTTTTGTAGTACAAGTCTAATAATTCGTATTTGTTATGAAGAATTAATTACAGCTAATATTTCTTGAATAACTATATGAATTAATCATTTAAAAATTAATTAATTTGAAGAATATGATTGTATATTTTCATTCTGTACATACTAGCCTAATCTGCACAGTTTATTTTGGGATTTGCTACATCTCGTCGTTTATTTAATCTTTTTCACATATGTAGCTTCAAGATCTTATATTACATATAAAAAGAACGGTCTAATATAATCAATTTTAGAATAAATTTAATATCATCAATGTTTCCTACTATATTAACATTTTTTTTAACATAATACTCCTTAGTTTTAATAAAATGTAAAGTTATTATACAGGATATACAATACTAACAAAGACTAATATATATTGTGTAGTTCAATATGTGAATGTTTCATAATGTGAGCATTTGTGCGCTAACTGTCATGTGAGTATGTCTCACAACTACAAAAGTATTAAATATTATTTTTTTACATAATCTATATATATATATGTATATATATATAAAATCAAATCTCATTTTTACGTTAACATGTTATTTAAAAAATATAGATTTTCGTATATATACTTTTAAAACTAAATATTATTAACACAGCATAAAGTATCATATGTTATATAATTTTTAAAACACAAGAGACATAGTTTGCTTAATGTGCTATATATTACGTTTTATTTGCAATTCGTTTTTCAGTCGATTTCAGTTACTTGAAATGATAAAAGTAACATTTCGCGCAACTGAAATAAAACATTACTTTAATTGCTATTTGCATTCCTTGTACATGCTTTCACTTGATTGGCTTGTTTCTGTGAATCGCTATCTTCATCGCTGCAATCCTCATCGTGCGTATGTGTGACATTACGCGGCGTTTCTGGTCTTGCATGTGGAATTTGATTATTGAAATGATCCACATACAAATTCTTCTTAAACACACAAACAGATACAGATTACATTTTGAAAATACATGATTAATCCTGCATCGATCAATTGATATCGACTATTTATCACGTTATAATGAGATGATATTTTAAATACTTACAGAAGAAGGTCGATTATGTTCTTCTTCTTCATCTGCCAATTTAAATGTTCTAGAACGACTTATCATTGGCGTTTCCATGACAAATCTCTGTTCGTGTGCTACTGTACTTTCATGCGGCATCTAAAAATATAATAACACAAAATTTATCATTGTTTCATACATTTTGGCATAAAAATCGTACATCCAAGTTTAGCTTACCAGCATAGCAGGTGCTCTGAACATATACGAAAAAGGATAATAAATCAGATTTAAGAAAGTCGCTGCGTACAGATCGGCGTATCTTACGACTTGACTGCTGAAAAACGTTTGTCTACTTCCACTACGAAACAAGGAACCCATCATGCCATAAGCCAAGTCCATTTTGTGCGTGACGTCTCTTATAGATGCGCGTAACTTGGAGATATCTGGCTTTTCCTTTGTACTACTGTCTAAATTTCTGAACAAAGTAATATGCGATGTTGATAAAAACACATACAAGTAGTTTATATTTCTTCTTATTCTGATATATAGGATAATATTTATGATCAATCGTGTCACTCACTTGTACATTTCTCCGAGCATAACGTCTAAACGTTGTAATTCGGCAAACAATTGACATTTGTCAGTCCAAACGTGTAGTTCTTGAACCAATTCAGGGACTATTAAAAACGTCCTCCAGCCTCTTATTTTTTTACTTTTTAAAATATCACCAAATATATGATCACCGACATATAACACGTCCTTTCCTTTTGCACCAATTAATTCTGTAAACACGTCGCAAGAGCCTCCCGAGTACACTTCACCTATTTTAAATCAAAACATGATTACATAATAACATATTTCTTTATAGTCACAAATAAAAAAATTTTTAAATTACGTTTATCAAAGTGTTTGATGCATCACCTGTGTGAAGTGGTCCTTTATGGGTACCAAGTTTTAAAGCACCTGTTCTCGTGTCCACTTGTCGTAAAATTGTTCCTTCTCCGAAGAACAATGGCTTTCTGGCATCTACCACAATTGTATCAAAATATGTCTTCCAATTTCTATGCGGTTCATCAGGCTAAAATGAGAAAAAATGTCAAAAATGCACTTTTATTTTTACACTTTATGAATAATACATATTTCGTCATAATAAAAAATGAATGAAAAAGTGTTTGTGTTGAAAAAATTTCTTTTATAATAAAAAGAGATTTTATATAAATGTATGCAGAGATCTTATTAAACATAGTTGTATTTACATATGTAACTATAAAGATTTAGTTTTATTAGCTGATGTGAATTTATTTAACCCTAGAATGACTTTACATATGTATATACACACAAGCATCGAGCATCGGTCTGCGCATAAATGAGCAAAATAGGAAGAGATACCAGGATCCAAGCTTTGGAGTCTGGTGACTGGTACCATTCATTGCAAGTATTAATATGTTAAATGAGCACTAAAGGGGGAGACTATGAGCAAAAGTCTGCTCGAAATAAATTTTCGTCCGATCCGATGCACGTTCTCTCGTAGTACAGAGTATAAATGTGTGTGTATATGTATATACATATAATAGATCAACGATACAAAAATTAAAAAAAAATGGTGCGATAAAAATTCATTTTTATAATAGTTTTAAAAAGTTAAAACTGACTCGCGTATTTTTACCCACAGTATCGCGTTTCTGTCGTAAAATAAACTTTAGTGTCGCTCTAGGATTAATGTTATTGTATTATTCTTCAAATTATTAACTTTGAACCATACTTTGAAACGTACTTCATTAAATCGTATGAAACAATTTAAAAAATGTAATAAAATATAATGAGAAAACATACCCTTGCACCGTGTGGAAAATCGAACAAATAAGTCATAATTTTGTCCGTGAAAACATAATCACTGTTCGTTAATAAAAATACTTTCGCTCCGCTCTCTCGGATTCTCGTAAGGAACATGGGCAATCTCTCGTCTTTCTTTACATACTCGTCCAAATTCTCGATTGTCTTCGTTTTCAGATTACCGTGAAGATGTATCCAATCTACCGCGCTTCTGACATCCTGAAATATGCTTCTGAAGCTCATGGTGAGCTCACCTTCTTTCACTCCAGTTTTTTCTCGACTAAATTGCGGCGAGTTTGTGAAAAAGTCTATCAGACATGCTAGCAAATAGGTTTCCGGTAGATTGAACAATGTATTGAGCACATAAACTCTAGACTCATCTAATTGTAGGAATTTGTTTGGATAAAGTTCATAAACCTGAGAGCTAAAATAGAACAAAGAAAGCAGAAAGTGAGGAATAAAAAACACAAATTGTATTTAAAAAAAAGAGAGAAATGTAATATTTTTATCTCTTACTGTTTTAAAAACTCGAAACCATGAACACAAACTAAGATGTTTCCATAAGCATCCACTTTTAAGAGATTTCCATACAAGGAATCGAACCATAATCCACGAACAGGAAAACTAGGATCATATTCGAATGCCTTGATTTCTTGCGGATATCCCAAAGACACTAGACGATCCTTAAGAAGATTAAAACCCAATTGCTCGTACTGCGGTGACTTATACTCTAAAATATTCAACACAACATAGTTATTTATTTTAACATTTTTAATTTTTTTAAAAACATACATTTGTCAAAATAATTACCTGCCAATGTGTAATCCATGTCGAAGCCATAAAACTTAATGTTCTCCAAGTGAAGACTCCGATTGACGAAGATTCTGCAAACAAACAAAATTTGCCGATTGAAAAACGTTATAAATTAATTATGATTTACAGTGGTTATAATTTGCAGAGTGCGCGTGATTAATTTAATGTAATGAAGAAAAATTGGCGGGATCCATTGGCGACGATTGTTGCGACAGAGCGAAACACGATTTCCTCAAAATATTTCTGCTGATATATTGTAGAAATGATAACCTTCGTAATGTCGGAATCTTTCGTTATTCGCCTATGTTTTATATTGCTTCTCTGCTTGTACAAAACATTCATTTTCTTACGATGCTATTTCAAATGAAAGATTATATACATTAAATTTAAGTTGTGTAAATATAGACTAACGACATATTTGAGAATACTAAATAATTTATCTTTTTTTCTTCCAAAAATAAATTTGTAATCTTTATAATAAATTAATTATATATCAAAGAGCGTCATGTACTCCAAGATTAAGATGTCTCTTTTTCTTTCTTTGTGCACACACTTTTTATCTCTCTCTCTCTCTCTCTCTCTCTCTCTCTCTCTCTTTTCGTCTCTGTCAATACAATTTAATTCAATTTCCTTCTAACATAATAAGTAATAAATCGAGTCTTTAAATCGCGAAGAATTTATTTTAAACTAGTGCATTTTAATTTAATCTTTGATCTTTGAGTTTTTTATTTAATATTTCATTGTCCGCGTGATTAGGAAAAAATATGTCCAGCATAACTTTTGTTAAGCATTAGTATATTAAACTTTTCTTAAAGAAATCATCTATCCTCTGCAAAAAATCTTGCTTTAAAAATTCGCATGTAAAACTATAGTGATTTTTGTGTTGTCGACGTATAATACTGTAAATAATTTAATTAATTATCTTGAAACGTGTAAAGTGTGACAAAAATGTGCTGTTTATCTTGTTCGAGCATTTGGAAGTGATGCATTTTATCGATACACATACTGTCTGAATTTAACTTTCAAATATATCAAAATCTACAAGCAGAGATATTGGCGACGATATCTTTATAACATTGCTATCACAAATGTGTATAAAATTCTACATGAACAGTTTATTTCTCCATGTCATAACTTTGATTATAAATAATTGTCCGCGATTCCTCGAATTTCTCTTTTACCTTTAATCTTTACTGAATATACTTGAAAATTTTAATAGAAAATCAACAATACGAGTCGGACGCAATAGTGAAAGTGCAATGTATGCGAATGTACCGATTATTAAAAAGCCTAGATAATACAATAATTATAATAGAAATGTTTCGATTCTTATTTTAAATAATTATTAATTCAAAAATATGTAAAAATATAATTAAAAAGACATTAAAAAAGAGAAAGAGAGAAATCGCCAAAATGACTTATATATTAGTCAATTTTTTGCTTGATTTCGTAATAGTCGAATCTTTTTTGTTAATTATTTTTCATCGAAATTGCTATCAATTTTTAATTAATAAAGCAACTTACTCATTTTGCACGCAATGTCGCGGATTCACAAAATTCGCAGTTGGCGAGACATCATCGTTGATATCCTTCAGCCACATTTTTTCGCGGAATATCAACTAATCATCAGGTGTCCTATGATCGATTTTGCATTCTTGTTATCCAGCCACAACACAGAAATGCATTATACAATAAAAAAAAATCACTAAAGAGATCAATCAAACATTCAGAAGAAACTTGAAATTTTGTAACATATATATATGAGAAATGTAATACAACAAAAAGTTGATAAAACTACCGAATAGAAAAGGAAATATCGTACGATACTAGCTGATAAAATTACGTTATGCGCGTGAGAGAAACGGATACTTGAAAGAAGGATAGATATGTATATGTATATGCATATAAAAGAATTTTTTTTCACGATAAACTTTCTCGGAACGCGTTACGCAGATCATTCTCCGAATATCATTGAATGACACACTCACGTTCGATTGACAAAAGCTTTTCAAGCTACGATTTTATTATCACGATTTTAATGACAGTACGGTAAAAGTCGCACACATCCCAGAGAATGACAGCGTGCGTGTGTGAAAGGCAAGGCGCACTGCTTTGTCGGAAAAACGACGATGATGCTGCCCGCTCAATGACCACACGTCAACTGGTTCGTGGCGAGTCGTCGGAGTCGATTAATACGCAACGATGGGAGTTAATTCATCGTCTTCCGGACACAAACCTCCCCCAAATTTAACGCGCGATCGCGTGTTGCCCAAAGTTTTACCGAGGGCTAGATTAGGACGAAATATATGTCTGTGTTTCACTGGTTCACGTACATACATGGAATGCACTTCACCTCATAATTACGAATCGTATTAATCGTGCCTAAATGTTACCATAAATCCTCCCCTATCATCTTGTATATTTCACCCTTAATTAGCGTTAATTTTACTTTATTCTTATTATTGTGTTTTATCTTACATGGAGAGAATTTTCTTTTAAAATTAATAGGTATACATGTAGAGAGTAAATACTATATATACATTAGTCAAATTCATCAAACGTATTTTATATCTTATTGTGGTAGATATTAATATTTTTATTGTGGTAAATATTAATCAGAAAAAATCATAACATTTTTCCAATACCACATTGTCTCACGATTACCTGCATGATTTTCAAGGTAAATTCTAAGAGAAAATTCTCTCTGCGTATATAAATCAATATTTTGAATTTGTACAAATATTTTAATTTTTATAACAGTTAGGAACAGAACCTATTGAAGATTTTTTTAAATATTTATTATAAACCAGTCTTCTTATCTTAATGTATTTTTTTTTAATCTTGTATTATCATAAAATTTTGAGATTATTAATTTAATTCTTCTTTCTTCTTATTTTGTAAATGACACAATCAATAATAAATATATGAAATAATCTTTGCAAATTTGCAAAATTTCGATTGCTTTTTGTTACATTTTACCAGCTAAAATTAAAATATTATGCAACGATACCTAATTGTTTTGATGTCAGTTAAGTGTGTCACGCGTGTCTCTTTATCCGCGTTTTTCCTTTCTTTTTTTCCCTCCGATTAATGAGATATATAAGAGATTGGCTGTTCTTTTATCAAGACGGCATTTTGCGAATCTCGCAGGGAGCGATAACATTTAAAAACAGCGCACGCAAATCTATTCGAGTGAGTCAATATCACCTTGTGCTTGGTACACGTATCAAAAGTTGGCCCAGTCTAATATTAGATTTGCTGAAATCGTCGATTTCGATTTTACGTACAACCTATATATAGAACAAACTTAAAGTCCGATTATTAACTTGTTCAACAATAATTCGAATAAAACGAGTTCGCGTTCGAAAATTATATGTATTTGTGTGACTTTATTGGCAGCACTATCTAAATATATCTCATTCTATGAAATTTATGTCCACTTCTATTCCTTATCGTATTTATTTAATCGTATAGTTAAGTGATTATGTAGATTAAAGATATATATACACGCATAGTGTGTTATCTTGCAATAAATAATTGTATTTATTTAGTATTTATATATAGAATATCTTGTTATGTTAAAGGCGAGAACGTATAAAAGTAACGTATTATAAAATGTCATAGCATGTAGAAATGATGTCAACGTAACAAATATCTCTCTCGGATTTTTAAGGTACAACAAAATATAAATACACAATTTATATATATAATTTCGAAGAACACGGATACGAGAAAATATTTTTTCCCTTAATATTATTTTTATAGGGTTATTAAAATTTCTTTTAACAGAGATACATTTCAATCGCTTGTACACTGCAACTGATATCGAGATAAATTCAACAATCGTGTATCATATATTCATCTATCTATATTATATATCTATCTATATACAGATATATATGTAGAGATATCGAGACACAGGTATATTCCATTGATAATCTCTCATTGAAGTACTTATTTAATTGTTCTTAGTACGACTTTTATTTCGTCCCAATAATATAGATTTTTAGTTAAATCGGTCGGATACTCTGCAAAAGAGGATGCACTCATATTGGAACGAAAGTCACAACCTGTGTATCGTACTTTCACTAATCATTTATTCACGGTGTGTCACACGGTACGGTTTACTCTGTATCGTCGTATTTTGACAATCATTTTCGAGCAATTTATTGCTTTATTCGATAATTAGCACAAATGTATAATGTTAAACCCAGAACATTCACTAATGAATGTCATTTAATCAAACTCTTAAACAAAAAGGTTTAAGTCGACTCAAACAAGATGACACGTGAAAAAAATGTATATGGAGTAACGTTGATCATTTTTTGTACGACGTGAATTAATTATGCATGCATATATTAATGTTGCTCTACAAATGCCTGTCAGTATAACTCGAAACAAGTTGTGCTCGTTGCATAAGTCTCGAGTCGTTTGTAAGTTGATTCAGTGACGGATAAAGATATAAGAAAAAGTATCTCTTTGGCAATAATGATCGAAATTTGCGATAAATAAATTTAAAAAAATATATTTATTAAATATATATTTAAAATTTATATTTGAAATTAAATTAATATATATTTAAAATTAAAAATACATATTAAATATATATTTAAAAAATCTATAAAAGAGAGATTAAATTTCTTCAAATATATGACATCATATATACAAAAAAGAGAAAATATGTACGTAATTTAAATTTAAAAATGATTAAAAATTAAAATTTAAAAAGGTAAGAAAATGATTGAAATTTAATCTATCTGCTGACAATGAGAATTAATATAAGCTGATCAAATTGTTAGAAGCAGTTTGCACATTATCTATTATTTTTTTCTTTTTCAAAATGTGTCTGATAAGAGTTGCACAATTATAGAATTCTCAATCTCTCAGTCAGGGATTGTTCATATAATATTGTTTTACCTATGTTAATTCTTCAGAAAAATCCTTCAATAAGAGAAACATTGCTTTATTATAGCGACAAATTCTTATGAGGCAACACGGTTGTTTGGTTACATTACAACGTCAGTTGTCGCTATCTACTTACCGAAAGAAATTTGTTTGCGCAATTCACGCTGGAAATTTTTCACCATTTTATCTCAATTAACTCATAAACGCGTCTTGACAGTTCTTGGTCCAACGGATTTACGATAAATACGCGATACAAAATGAGAAATACCGTTGATAATTTTTTTAAAAGCCAATCGTTACATTCAGTGTCGTCAATTTCCTTGTTACATCATACATAAATATCAAAATCAAAATAAAATAAATATATCATAAATTTATCAAAAAGAGTTAATTTTGTTAATTTTAAGTACATTGTTGTATTTAGATGTAAATTCGTTTCTTTTAAACACTAATTTTAATATATTTTGTCAGAGACACGAGAAAAAGAAAGAGAGAATGATATAAACTAATATATTAATTTTTTCGTTTATAAAAACATATTTCTTTAAATATCCAATAAATGATTGGGCGATGATGCGGGCGAGAATTATGAGAATTATAAAAGCAAATGTCGAAAATGATTGCACGTAATGAAATAACTGTCGGTGACACAATGAAATTATACGAAAGATTGCCAAAGTATTGTCGGCATGTGTGTGTGTGTGTGTGTGTGTGTGTGTGTGTGTGTTGTGGTGTGTTAGAAGACATCCCTTTATTATCTAATAATACTATTGAATGCTCGAAATTACGGCGATTAATCTATTCTCTCTAAATGCGATTTTAAATCATTTCCGGTACCACTATCTCTAAAAAGTATACAGTCAATTAAAATATTTATTTTACATCTTTCACTTGTTTGATTTTCAAAGGATTTATTAGATATTGTTATAAAAAACTTCTTGCATAAAAACTCTGTCAAAACGAATAAGTATATATATAATATATGCATTTAAGCGTATGAATAAAATGAATAACTTGTTAAAGATGAACTTTAAAATTAAGTTCCTTTTAAATTATGTAATCTTTCGTTGCTATGGCTGAATCGTGAATAAAAAGTGTCACTAATAAAATTTGTAAAGTTCGATATACTAATCTGAATGTCAAAGAAGCAACAACCAATCTCGAGATGTATATCTCATTGTTAACTTCTACTTTACACAAGAATTGAAAATTACTTAAATAAACACGCATTATTGAGAGATGTATTCTCGGAATATGTAAAGACCTATGTTTTTTAATGTAAAATTAATGTCGCAACATATCCTTCCTCGTGCGAAGAAATTTTAATTCTACACGGAGAGACTTTTCTGTTAGAATTTACGCTGAAAATCATGGAACAATATGGTAATAGAAGAATTTTATGAGAGTTTCTCTGATTAATTAATATTTACCACAATAAAAAATATTAATATGTTATTTTATATCTTATTGTAGTAGATATTAATATTTTTAATAAGAGAGAAACTCTTATAAAATTCTCCTGATATTATATTTATTATCCCATAATTACTATGATTTTCAGGATAAATTCTAATTGCAAAAGAAAATTCTCTCTGTGTGCTGGCAAGAAATGCATCGATATAACGCTAAGCTAGGTCTTATATCTTTGTGAGACGAGATTATAGAAAACTTCCGTGAGAGGCGTAGAGATAATTAAAACGAAAAGTCATTATTTTGTCAAGTTATGTTCAAGTTGAATCATTTCAATAGCATTAAAGGTAATTGTATCGCAATCACATTTTGCATAACACAGAGATAATTTTTTCTTAGAATTTACCTGGTAAATTCATAGTAATCGTATTTTATAAAAGTTTCCCTGATTAATATTTATTACAATAAGATAAAAAATATATGTTCGATTAATGTTACCATGTACATATTAATATTTTTTATTGTGATAAATATTAATGAAAATAACTCTTCTAAAATTCTTTCAATATCATGTATTATCCCACGATTATCCAAGATTTTCCGAATAAATTCTAAAGAGAAAATTCTGTTCGCGTAACAATAATGATATCTTGGACGAAATGCGAAGTAAAATGTGTTAAAATTAGGTTGAAAACTTCACGTTACTGACCCGGGGCCAAATTCTATAATTGGAATAAGGCGAAAGGTTTGCGCGAGGTGAACGTCGGTCTTATAAGTCTAATATATGTCCCGATTCTCTCGAGGCGGCTTTGTCGCATATTAATAAAACACCCACCACGGAAGTTGATCCGTTTCTGTCTGACTTAATGGAGAATCCTAGATTTACCTGTGGCCCAATTCGCGTTTATCAGTGCGGGCGCCATAAATGCCCTCGTTGTAGCTATCCAGATCTTGATCGCTTAGATCGTTCCTCGTCAGTCCTACGTTAAGGCCAAGCATGGTACGATGAATCGATTCCTCGGGAAATAGGTTCGTGTCATCCGGGAATCGCATTCTCGCTCCTACACCGTAAAATTCGAGAGTCGCCTTCGTTATATTTATCAACAAGTTCGCAATATCAAGTAGACCCATTATTCTCAATGCATCTGTCTCTCCTCGTAATAGTAATATGATAATGTATAATCAGGGTTGGGCAGATACTTCGAAATAAAATATTTAAATGCAAGATAGAATTTAAGATACTGTTGCACATATAGGTATTTAAATACTATTGAAATGCTTTGGTTTTTAAATATATTTAAATACTAATTATATATTTAAATACATTTAGAAATACTTTTAAATACAATTATTTTTTAATTTTCTGATTATATACTATATACTTAATATTAAAGTAATTACAAAAAGATTATCTACTATTATTTTAAAAATTTCATTTTTTAAACTTTATAGAATAATAATAATTAAAATAAACATATGTAATAGCATATATTATATTCTATGTATAATAGCATATAGCATATACATATATATATGTAATTTAAATACACAAATATATTTAAATATAAGATACATTTAAATTAAATAATTAATTACAAAGTTCAAACATATCTGCTCAATCCTATGTATAATAATAAAAGATAAATATAATAATGAAAATACTATATCTTGATATAAGAAAAAAATACTATATCTTTGAGGGAAAAAAAGAACGTGAGATAAGTTAAAATCTACTTACTAGAATGCAATTACTTGGAATTAAATTCTATAATTGACATGAAGCGAAAAATTTGCGTTAGAGAGATAAATAAATTATTGTATCTCATACTTTTTCTTGGGATCCAAAACAAATTTTACAGATTACGGACTTATCATCCCATATTGCAATGAACGTTTCAATTCGCTTTCGAAGAAGCGCGATTGAAATAAAAATAATAATTTTGCATATCGATAAGTAGCAAGATATCTCTCTACACGCGGTTTATCTCTTTATAAGCGTTCTTCCTATCGCATGTAACGTGCTGTGTTTTTAAACGCAAACTCAAAGTCCGATTGCATCGCGATTTTAGTTAATTGCAAGAGACAGATTAGCGATACGAACTTAAATTTATTCTTCTTTTCTTTCTACCTCTATATGTCAGATCTACCAAATTATTGCATTGTCATAATTTTTAATGACTTATAAAATATATCGAATTTTTGTAAAAATCAACCTCTAGAGAAAAAATTCCTGTTGACATCAGTATCAATTTTCTAATTGGAATTGTCTCGATTGCGCATTACAATCGGATACGTTGATATTTTCCGATCACGTAAGGTTGCATTCGGACACAAACTCGATCGGAAAATATCGTCGTGTATATAATAATTAATGCAAACGTCTTCGTAATTGTATATTATATATACTATTGCTTGAAATTTAAATTATTTTACTTGCGACAAATCTTTTATGCCAAATTAACATTATATAGATGAAGATATATAGTTATGACTGTCGACAGAGAAATAACCAATTGTAGAATTAAAATTTAATTAACGCTAAAATATATAGCCGAGACACGCATGTAAATCTATAGTTATTGGCTAGAAAATAACAAAAATAGAATATTACGAGTTTAGACTAGGCATAAACTAGTTATCATTTATTGAAATCTGTTTGGCCTGATTAGTTTCTGGCCATTTTCTAATCAGAAAATGCTCTTTTTAACAACTTTAGTTAATAAAAAATAAAATTACGTACGTAAACTTAGAATCAAATAATCTATTCTTTGATCAGCAGAGTCATTTAAATAGAATTTTATTGAAACAGAATTTTTTATCGAATTATTGGACACAGTCGCTATTCAATAAATAAAAAAAAAGTAAAAAATATTTCTGAAATATCTCGTTTTTTATTTATTTATACCGCACGAAAGAAAATAAAAAAATGTATCACCGAATCACGCGAGTCTGTCGCAATATTTTATCTCACTTATCGCTTTCTAATATTAAAAATTTACGAAGATGTATTAAGAAGCAAGTGTAATTAGCGAATGAAAATTATTAATGTGGCCATTCTAAATTATCGTGCCATTTAATCTAAAACTCAAAAGATGCCTATAGAGAATTTTCTCTTAGAATTTACCCTGAAAGTCATGGTAATCATGGGACAATATGGCATTGAAAGAATTTTATGAGTTTCTCTGATTAATATTTACCACAATAAAAAAAATATTAATATATATTTTATTTTTTACAGTGTGATAGATATTAATATTTTTATAAGAGAGAAACTCTTATAAAATTCTTCCATATATTGTCCCCTAATTATAATTATGATTTTCAGGGTAAATTTTAAGAGAAAATTCTCCGTGTAAGAAAAGAAAAAATGCGACTTACATACATATATTACATATATATAACATATATTCGAAAAAGAAGATAAATTACCTATAGCGATGTCCGCTGGCGTGACAATCACACCGATGTTTTGTCGACTCATAGCGAAGTGACGTTGCAAATCGGTGATTTCCGAAAGCTCAAACGAGTGAAATGTATCACGAAAACAAATCGCCGATCCCGTACTTTTCTTAAATACTCTGATCCATACGAGTGGCAATGTTGTAATGACGGAACGAGACAACAACTTTAGCCGCGTCTTCGAATCTTTCTCTTATATTTTCTCTCTTTCTCTCTCTCTCTATCTATCTAAATATTTCTCTGCTTGACACAGCAAAGCGATAAGAACGCATCAGATCAGCCGCAGGGGTCATTTGCGTATATAATAACGATATGAAGAAAAATGGATAACTTCGACTCACGTGACACCCCCACGATTTTAATATACAGAAACACCAAGTCGAGACAGACTTTTTCAGAATCTGGAGAGATTATAGCGATAGTGAAATCAAAAATAGCTTTCCTCTAGTCAAAAATAGGTTTCCTGTAATTAACGTTACAAAGATGCGTTTATTTCGCTATCTTTAGCTTTAAAAAATATAGCTAATAAAAAAATATTTCAAAATTAGCTATGGATATAAAAGCGTTCAAATATGTACTCTAGAATGTATAAAATCTTGTGCCTTTGTGGACAAAGTGATAATTTTTAATATAATATTTGTGTCATCTGTGTTATTTTTAATTATACAAGAATTATTTTGAAATTCATTAATTTTTTTATAAATATTTTATTTAATTTTTTATCAAACAATTATTTTTTATTATTTTAAAACGGAGACTTTTAATTACACAATACAATTAATTCTTTTTCAATTTGAATTACACAGTACAATTAATTTTTTCTTCAAGGTTCGATATAAAAAAGATTGCATTTAAAAAATTATTTGTTTTTTAATTATTTAAAAAATGTATTTTTTCCCTATGTTTTCGTTCAAATAAATATTGTCGTTTTAGTTAAGATTTTCATCTTTCTTATAATGTTTGTGTATAAAATCTATATTTTACTGCGTGATATTAGAGTAAGAGGCGTAGAGTAAGATTTAAGAGGCGATGCGCCAAATATATTTTTACAATCCCGAAATATATCGCGGTCAAAGTGTATCGTTTAAACGAGTTATTTTCGTACGATACATATAAACGTTTACTTTTGAAAATGCGTGGGATTGGTATTTTTGACGCTATCGCAAATCTTGGAAACGAATGAATATTAATGTATATTTCAGAAGTTTATTTATCATAGTAATGAAGTAATGTAATCTACTCTTCTCTGGCATCTTCTCGACTATTAATCGAACTTTGACCGAAAATAATTTAAAATCTCATATTAACTGATACTACGTTTAAAAATGCATTAATTCATAATAAATTTTAATAAATTAATTAATCTTATTGGTAGTCGAGCAAATATAAAGCTTCTGAATTTACTTTATACAATCTCGATATTTAAAATATATTTTAATAATTTGTATTTTAATTTTCAAAAATGTATGAAAGAATTCACGTACATTTACGATATAAGATGTATATAAGATGTGAGTAAATATAAACGATTATATTTATAATTTACGAATATTTTTGAAAAATATTTCGTTATTCGAAAACAAAGTTCTTACTTCAAATATGTATATTCGTAATCGATTAAGCGTTGCAAATATATATATATGCATATTCTGTCCAACACACTGTCGCATCAAAAATCTATTAGAAATAAATTCAACATATATACATACATAATATGCTTTCACGTCTAAAGCATTCCTTGATCAAACGCATCTCATAAATTAAATAATTAATAAGAAAATTTAAAACTCTTGACCGGTTTCTGTTTACTGTCTCTTTGTCAACTTTTTAATTTTATGTAAAGCTTTTTATGCATATTAAACGCTATTAAAAATTAACAGGCACAACTTGTCTCTGCGCGAGTTATAATATACAAATATATGTATATTTCTAGGCATATATTTTTTTCAATATGTATGTATATAGATTTGAAATATTTAAAATAAATATCTCGATACTTTTATCCTAACATTTCCCGCTTTACGACATGAAGATAAAGATTATAGTATATTACATACATATGTATATACATATATATACATATATACAAATGTGAAAAAACACATGCACATACAAACCTTTGACTGGCTTGCCGATACCACTTTTTGTTACCACTTGGATCATTTTCCTGTTGTGGTGTATTAGGCCTGTTTTCTTGATCTCCATGCGAATTACAATTTTCAAGCTCCATCATTAACTGTAAAAAAAAGTTTGCAATATCCAATTTATATAATTATTCGATAAAAAAATTTTTAAATATAATACAATACTATTTTTGGAGAAAATAAGAAATTAAAAAATTTAGCATAAATATTTAACATTAACGAAATTCTCCAAATAAATGACGATAATATAATAAAATGTATTTATAACTGATTTACAGATGCAGATTATTTGTGTCAAATTATTGAGAAATCTGCCGCGTTATCAGCATAATATGGTATAGTTTACGCAATCTATCAATAAACATGGCGCGTCTGCTTTGAATACTGCATTGTCATATATATATACGTGAATTAAATTTTTATAACGTAATGTACAAACAATGCTTTTGCATAAATATTTCTCGAAAAAATAATGAAACAAAAAAAAACTCAACAATATCAATTAATCTTTCCAGGAGGTTAGCAATAAAAAAATATAAAAATTATTCTCGCACGTCCCCTCTATAATAATAAAATATGAGAATAAAAATAATATACATATATAATTATATCAATTCTTTTGTGATGCATAATTAATGCAGATATACACAGCCCGTTGATGCCCGTATCATTTTCGTGACATTATCATTGTCCAAACACAAACATTAATCCGTCTTATTGTTAACTTGTTATTAATGTTATTTTACGCGTGAAAGAACGGTCAACAATTCGTTCGTGCTCATATGGTGTAATAATCGTCAACATGATATGTACGTACACACATTGCGCGAAAATGAAGCATCTCAACTTCCATTCTCATGGATATTACCTTTCCGCAAAGTGTCTTTTATCGCACACTTTTATGACGAGCGTCATAAAAATTGATGACTCCGAAAACCGCTCGACCGACACTGCGATCTGTCATCTGAAAATTTGACAGATTGTTGCACTCTCACCGCCGCCTCACGCGATGCAGATTCACTGCGTACTGAGGTCAATTCACCGAACTAGGCTATATTCGGCCGCAGGTCTGCCAATCGATCGCAGTAGATCAAAAATCCCTAAACCCTGTCAGTTCGGATTCAGATGGGAAAACACGGTACAATAGGAAAAATATTAAATATTAAATATATTAAATATTAAATATGTTAAAAATAAATATATTAAATATTAAATATATTAAATATTAAATATTAAACAGGAGAGAGAGAAACTCTCTTCTGTTTTATTTAATATTTTTTCTATTGTGCGCAGGGCCTAATTGTGATAATATCGTAAAAAAAAATAAGAGAATTAATAATTTATGAGTTAATTTATGATGTAACTTTGCGATTACAGTCTGTTCGTAAATGCATCCTAAGAGCGCGCGCTGGTGAAAGCAGGCGAAAGTATCGAATTTTGATTGGCAAATCGGAGCAAAGAACTCTTTCTCTCGATTAGTTTATATATCGATCTATTCGAAACTTTTCTAGCGCCAAACGGAACACACTTTATATTCACGCGTATACATATATGCATAACTGTTAATAATTATTAATATGGAGAAAAATATAGCTTGACAAAGACAAATATCTATATAATACTCTAGAAAATTATTTATCAAAATTGATCGACGGTATTTATCTCACATATTCTTGTATATCGTTACAATTAAATTTCAATTATATCGTATCGTAAAAAAATGATTTCTCCTTCTATATATATATATATATGTATTCTTGAAAAAAAAAAGAATTTTTAAAAATACACACAAATACAAAGTCACTTCTAAAAATAATTGAGGGAATTTGGCAATTGTACGACCATATGAAAGCAGATAGAAAAAATAAAGGTTAGAGAGAAAGAGAGGGGGTCGAAAATCGCTTCGACTCGAACTATTCGAGGCTCGAAACTCGAAGTACAAATAAAATGGAACGCATGCGAGACGGATGACAGATAAAAGATGTAAAGTTGATAAAGCGCGATGAATATGATTTACAACATATCCTGGAATATAATCTAAATATATATATGTATATATATATATATAATAATAATAATAATAATATGCACCTGTCGGATAGTCGGATAGTCGCGAATAAGACGAGCCGATCTAAGATCATCGACGACGGCGGCGTCGTCGTCGGCGGACGAGGTCATCCTAAGCGCTGAGCCGTGGATCCGTTGTCGGCCGACGTTGTCCGACGACGACGACGAAATCCACGGACCAGCAGGAATAAGAGGAGAAGGAGGTAAAAGCCTGTGCTTGGCGATTCTCGCGAGCCTCCAAAACGCGTACCTCATCCTCGTGGTCCTCGTGCACCTCGTACTCGTCGGGAGACATACGACGACGGAGCGGACGTGTCCGCGCCACCGACGATTACGTCGCGCTCGCTCATCGCTTATTGCGTAAAATTAATCCGATTTAGTCCGTGACCTCGCGGAGCGAGAGATGCGACGTAACCTACAAATCAAAGCAAAGTACGTATGCGAGTTGATACGCGGGATTCCCCCTCCACCTGTCATCCGTCGTCTGCTGCAAACTTCAAGTCGAACCGCTCGCGACTCGAGCGTCATCGAGAGAGAGAGGAGAAACTCCGACGCGTGCATAATCATAATCGCTCCTTTGATTTATGTTCGTTGATCGAGGAACGACGAACGGAGAAACGGAGTAAATTCTGACGGGCTCGAAGCGATAGATTCGAATAGGAGGAAATAGAGGAATGCGACGCTCTCTCGCATCTGTCATCTCGCGTCGTGTCGCGTCGTGTCGTGTCGTGTCGCGTCGCATCGTGTCGCGTCGCGTCGCGTCGCGGTGAGGCCCAACCCACTTTTTGATTTGTGCGCCGTTCGGCTCGGCTCGGCTCGCTCGGAGTAAGTCACCGAAAGCGTGAGGTCTCGCGTCGCGGGTGAGGTGAGGTGAAACGAAGCGAAGTGAATATGTATCCGCGGTGATACTCGGGGCTTGTTTCTCCAGCGAGTGCATTCGCGGAAGCAGTGAGCGGTTCATCGGGTACATCGCGCGCGCGCGCGCGCGTGTCGCCTCGTCCACTGCGTCGAGAGAGAACGACGGAATATCTATATGTCACCTCTATATCTTCGCCCACGACGATCCAATGAACTTGGCGCGTCGACATAACCTTTAAGCCGCGGAGCGACCCCGTCCGCGTTCGTTTCCTACCGATTTTCTCGCGCGTTTCGCACCCTCGTCGCGGGAGAGACATTTGACGTTTGACGTTTGACGTTTCTCGGCGTTCCTCCACCGCGGCCTTTTTAATCCACGACGAGAGCAATTTCGCTTTTGCGCGACGGTTCGGCGATACGTCACAAGTGTCACGGCTCTCGTCCGCCGTTTTCATATCCCGATATCGCCAATTATTCATTTGTACATCGGCCTGTTGTTTTTATTCTCGTTAGTATTATTACATATACATGCACTACGTGTTTGTTGTATTGTACTTGACAATGTTCAGTTTGATTCTGTTCTGTATACTTTTGTTTTCGCGAGACGTTATATCGAGAATACAGTCCGTTTTGTATCTTTGAGTTTTACTTGAGACGTATTAATAAATTTTTTCTTCACGCAACAAATTTGTGTTTTTATTTCGTCAAATTTTACACTCTTATACGCGTGTCACCCTCCATTTTTCCTTACATATCAATCTTGCACAGATGTATTTGTAAGTATACATTTACCAAAAAATCTTACACTGTATCATCTACTTTGTTGTCATTTTTGCTGAAATCATCTGTTTATTATCAACGTGTGTCAAATTTTCATCTCATATCAAACATTTAATTTTGTAATGTTTTAAAATTGTTAGAAAACATCTAATCAGAGATATTTCTTACCATTAAACCTGCGAAACGCGGATGAGAATCAAGTTTTTATTATTACTTAAAAGTAATATAATACATGGTACGGTAGAACTTTTGTATTTACAATTCTCTGATTTTCTATCGCTTATCACTTTTCTATTCGCACTGCTTTTCACTCTTGTGCTTCTTCACAATTGCGTGACCATGTATGTCTATTATATACCTTTTTTCTTTTCGTCATCTCATTTTATTTATAGTCGTGAAATGTGAAGTAATGCGCAAGAGAAGAAGTGATAAACAAAGAGTGTAAAGTAAACAATAGGGAATCAGAGAAAACTAATACAAAGAACGTTACTGTAATCATTATCCATCATTATCTACTAATCCAAGAGCGATGGTGTACTAAGACATCGAAACATCAATTTGTGGAGGACTAAATAATTGAAAGAATTCTTCAAGAAAATGAATAATCAAGCATTCAGTTTGGCGGAGAGGCTCATACCTTCGACTTATGTACAACAAGGTTTAAACGCTAAAAAATCTCGCGAAAACCTTATACGGCATTTTATCGAACATGTAAGTCATAATAATTATATTTATAACAAATATAATACACAGCTTTATTTCATGACATAATCTTACTTTTTTATCCAACAGCGAAAATGGCCAGAGGAGGGTTGGGACGATGCGACGATAGAAGCGTTTCTATCGGATCTGGCGCAAATGGATAGCAATAATTTCCCCTCAAATTGTAGCGTTGGTGAGCGCGAAGCAAGAATTGTATCAAACATTGTCGCGAGACGACACTTTCGTATGGGACATGGCATAGGGAGATCCGGTGATTTAGAAGAAGTACAACCCAAAGCTGCTGGTAGCAGTTTAATGTATAAATTAACAAATTCTTTAGTGCTTGAAGTTATACGATATATGGGTAAGCAAAATACATACATAGAAATGTACACAAGGTTTAACACAAAGGATTTTTCAGACAATGTTTAACAATTTCATAGAAATATATAATATTTTCTATAATTTAAAGCATTAAGTTTTTATTTTGATGGAAAAGTTTGTTTTTGATTTTTTCTTTATAGATTTGTAATTATTTTTTGGAGCTATTCTCGCTCCTTTTTTTGTCCTTTTTATTTTATTGATTTTATTATTAAAAATTATATACATTTGAAAAAGAAAAGACAAATTTTTATTATTTATAATTAAGTAAATATTCATATCTAGCAAAAATATATCTTTTGATTACAGGAGTAAAGAGTATAGCAGGCTGCTTTCTATCTCCAATGGCTACAGGAATGAGCCTAGTTTTATGTATGCTAACGCTTAAACAAGACAGACCACGAGCGAAATACGTTTTATGGCCTAGAATTGATCAAAAATCTAGCTTTAAATCTATAATCACAGCTGGCTTAGAACCTATCGTTATTGAAATGCAAATAATAGGAGATGAATTGAAAACCGACATGCAAAGACTCGAGGCTCAAATGTCGGCATTAGGCGAAAGTGTCGCTTGTGTACTTACAACAACCAGTTGCTTTGCACCAAGAGCGTGCGACTCTGTGGATGCTATCGCAGCCCTCTGCAGTCAATATAATATACCGCATTTGGTAAATAATGCATACGGGTAAGTAACAAGATGTATGATTTTTTAAAATCTGTATTCTAAATTGATATCTTGATACTAAAGCAATCAAAATGTTACTTTTTAATTCGGAATACTTTCACTCCGAAACTAATAAATTTTTTATTCGACAGACTGCCACTGATTATTTTAGTGTCAAGATATTAAATAGAATAATTAGATTAAAAGTTATTTCACTAAATATATTGCACTATACTCCTAAAAGCTTGCAGAGTACAAGATGCATGCATCTCATTCAAGAAGCATCGAGAAAGGGTCGTGTAGATGCCTTTGTTCAAAGTACGGACAAGAATTTTCTAGTTCCAGTGGGTGGTGCTATCATAGGCTCCTTCGATAAGAATCTCTTGGATCGCATATCGAAAATGTATCCGGGACGTGCGAGTGCGAGTTCTGTTATGGACGTAATGATAACACTGTTAAGTCTTGGAATGGCAGGGTACAAACAATTGATTGCTCAACGTAAGGAAATGTATTCTTATCTGAAAGAGGAATTGGGAAAATTAGCAACGAGGCACGGAGAAAGGCTGTTGGATACTAAGGGCAATCCGATATCCATGGCTATGACTCTTCAATGTCTAAGTCATCAGCATGACAACAAGCAAGTTACTATGCTAGGATCGATGCTATTTCTGCGTAATGTTAGTGGTACTAGAGCAATAACAACAACAGATTCTAAGCACATTGTTTCGCATAAATTTGAAGGTATATAAATTTATATTACATTTTTAAAATATTTTAAAGTTATTAAGACATACAGTATATAATTTTTTCATATACAAACATATACATAAGGAATAAATAATGATGTATATTTTAATTAATTGACTTTGTGCATTTTATCTTTGTTGAAGATAATTTCAATTTCATAACATGTACTCGTTCCAATTGTTAACACAGGCTGGGGCGCACACAACAGCAATTACAGAGTTCCATATCTAACTGCTGCAGCAGCATTAGGTATGAAGAGATCCGATGTGGATGCATTTATACAAAGATTGGATAAAGCTTTAACAAAAGTAAGGAGGCGTTCAGCGCCAGTAACGCCCACCGCCTCACTCGCCGGTTCCAGCATCAACGGAGACGCGGCTGGCACGGGTGGACCAGGAGAGTCTAGCACAGCTTCAACCAGCCGTGCAAGTAGTAAAGATAGTTTGAGAAAATGAACCGTAATCAACGCAACTGGCCAGTCTAATCAGCATATTAATATCAATTTGTAAGTAGTTTATCACTTACAAATTGGTATCCGTAGCATGTTTCTGAGAAATGTAATTTGGCACAATCATTCGTTTCTATATCGATCACGTGTTCATATACTGACAAAAATATAAAATCTGAACCACCACCAAAAATCTGAAGGGATTTTTGAAATTCACAAATTGTAATAGAAACATTTCTTAAGAGATTTAAGGGAAAACATGTAAAGACTTTTTTCTGACATGGTAATGAAACAATATTAATTACCAAGTTAAGTGAAACAGTGATTTACATCCATTTTCACAGATACATGCTAGATACAAATATGCTGATTTGCCTGACCATTTGCGTTGAGATATTGTCAATTTAAACCATACACCAGAAAAAGGTGAGTCATTTCAAATATTAAAGACATCATCAAGGTATTTGAGAAAAATAAAAAAGAGAAAGCACACGAAGCATATTAGGATTCTTATGGCTCTATTTCACAAGAGATTTAAATGAAGTTAAGCGCTGGCCGCCGATTTAATAAAGTTAAATGTGTTCTTTGTTGAGATGTATATGCTATTTATTTATTAAAAGATAACACACGCAAATGAGAATATAGAAAATGCTGAATTCTTATTTTATTTTCTTTCACGTTTTTGCGCTTTTTGATATAGTTTGATATAAAGGTATAAGATAGAAAGAAAGAGAAAAATGTATTAAAATAAATTATATTCTTGCGTGCTTCATAATTTTTTTTTTCAAGGAGCAACTATAAAACTTGCAATTCTATCAATACATGTAGCAAGATTAATTATTCGCTAATCGTTTATATTTGTCGTAATATTATATCCTTTTGATTTTTTCAAAGCAATTCTTTTATTCATATATGCTTAATGAAATTGATTTTTTATTAATTAATTGGTATTCATTTTTTGTATGATATATAATTTATTATGTTTAAATGCAGAGATTTTGCATATAAAATCAATCTTTTTCCTTCTTATTTAAACGTTAAAGAACATATTTGTGTTTATAACGTTAATAAAAAAACATATTATCTGTGAAAAAGAAAACTGTAGCGAAATATTTATGTGAAAATAATACACTATTATATAAGAAAGAGAGAGGAGGGAGAAGAAAGAGAAAAAATGGGAAGGGGAGAGGAATAGAATGACAAAATTTAGAAATGCATAGTAAACACAATAACACAATATGATATACGAAAATGTTGCATCGGATTTGCAGAAACTGTAATATCTTCGTATATATAGATATTGTATGTTGGTTGTTCTAAAAAGATAAAAAGTTGGGACATAATATTGTATTACTGTTTTGTTTTCAATACAAATAGTGTTATTTTTAATTGTACTGTTGTGTAATAAATAGAGTATATCTGAGCTAGGAGTATGTTATGTGAATATAAATATTGTTTGAAATATTTAACACAATTTATAAGCGCAAATTGATAACATTAATACACCCCAATTAATTTACACACATATATTTATATATACAAAAAAGATAATTCATATTTGCACAATTTATTGCATATAAAAGATAGTTTATTTAAAGTTTTATGCAGTTTAGAAAATCATATATCAGAGTTATGTGTATTTATGAATATTTAATGAAGAGATGAAGAAAGAGAAAAAAGAAATTGATAGCGGGATTTTATATACACGCATACACATAATCCCCCTATCAATATCACATTAATATTGTTAAAATTTTATCTAGCATATATATAATTTATGTGCCTAACACACCTTCTTTCTTAGATTAGAGACATATATTGATTAATTGTATTATATGATTAAAATTTTTGTAGAGTATATTTTACGTTTAACAGTATAAAATTATTAGAGTATCTGATTGATGATATATCGATAATAGTGCACGATTCTAAATTGTCAAAATTTTCGAAATATATTATCATAATGAGCAAGAAGAAGCAGTGATACACACACAGATTAGCATTTAATTAAATGCTTAGTTGTGATAGCTTATTAGAATGACAAATATTAATCGAGATTTTGTGCGATAAGCTCCTAGTAATAATTATCATTATTCGATACATTATCCTATTACTAATTATAGATTCATATTCTTAAATTATTACAGTTACTATGTGTCCTTTTTAAAAAAACACTTCTTTAGTATATATGTAAGTACACTTTTCTTTTTTTAAATTTGTTGACAATTTACAGTGTTCTATAAAATTCTTATCTATAACTCTTTCCTTTTATTCGTGGATTGTGTTTGACAATTTTTAGAACCTTTGATTTTTCAAAATCGGTCAGAGAATCTATATGTTAAATATCATCCAATATGTTGCACATTCCAGCTTTAAATTAAATATTTCTTTTCAATTATTCGTTTTTATCTTACAAGAATGAATATTATATATACAAAAGAAATCTAAGATGTAGTAAAAGAAATTGCAAGATTACTGTTATAAGATGATCGGATATATAATGCTATAATAGGAAATATGTACATTGTGTGACGTTATATTATTTAATAAAGAAGAATATATGTATATAAACATATATATATAATATACATGAATATAGAGCAATCTTTATATAAATCATAAAGAGCATCATATCTTGATGCATTCGAGAGCTCAATTGCAAAAATTATTAATTAATTTATATAATTTACATTAATTATATATATATATATATATATAATTTTACGTTTAAAAAATTTCTTATTTTATATATCACAAGATATTGGATTTTCTTGAAGAACAATAAGCAAATCATCCTATATGCATGTACATGTCTATACATGTATATATACATATGCATATATGTAATGATAGTAGATATTCTATAGAAACAAACATATGATCTTATAACTCGTACTCGTAATATTCCTATGTAAATAAAGAAATCTATCATATATGATTCATTTCCATTTTTCCACAGTTTGGTTTTGATGAACAGCTTATTTTTATATACATCATTAAGCCTTTCACCCAAACAACGACATGCGGATCTAATTTTCCTTCCTATGTTCGCGTCTGACACTTGGACATTTTCACTACAATTATTGTCTTTTATAATGATAAATAATATTCTAACAAATAGACAGCGAATGTGTTGATTCAAAGCGCACCTATACATGTTCTCATAAGAATATATAATAATGTATTTACGTAAGGGATAATATAAAAATATATGCCAACACCGATTCTTATGATATATATATTATTAATTTAGCATGTTGGTATGTATTGTGTGTGTGCAGCATAACTAAGGCTTATCGAATAAATAAATATAAATAATTATACACATACAAATACACACATATATGCAATCAAGATATTAACATACAGCTGTGTTTTGAGAAAGAAACATTTGGGTTTTTAATATAAAACACATCTAAAAAACACACTTTTTGCTGACATTGTATATACGCGGTTGTTTTAACAACAAAATTTTTCATGACTCATTTAAAATATGTAAAAGTTTCACAAGCACATATATATATATATATAATTAAGCTATAAAGACACTATATATATAGGCATTGGTATATATTGCCTATTTGCCTATATATATTGCATATGCTATCATATACAATAATATAGTATCTTTTTGAGAAAAAGATGAGATGAGAGAGAAAGAAAGAGATTACAGATAGTTATTATTTATAAGACAAATGTTTGGCATTCAAATATTTATGTAGAAACTAAGTGAAAAAAATGAAAAAAGAAAAAAGATATACAGAACTATATATATAGTTATGGAAAAATGAAGGAAATTAATTGGCTATAAATCTTAAATATGAATGAAAGGCAAAATCTCTTAAATTTTTTATGCTTTTAGAAATTTCATTCTGATATTTTTTATTTGACAATTTAAAGATGAGAGATGGTACGTGACAAGCGCGCTGAATATTAATCAAACAATAGAATATGTAAGCAGCATAACGTACGAACTCTTCCCTAAAATATGTGATTACCGTGTAATAGTTAACGCTTTATTTGTATAATATATACAATTCTATTGGATAAATAAATATAAAAACTGTTAAGTAACATAGATTTTATTGATTTAAAAGCTTTCTATTATTAATAAAATATGTTTAATTATTTATCATTATTATATATCAACTTTGAAAATTTCATTTTATTAACATATCCTCTTTTTCATATTTTTAATATTTCTTAATTACCAAATTTTTTGCTATTTTTTTTCGCTTATACTTAATGTAAAAATATACGTTTTACATATATTTATATATATAATTAAATCCTAATCATCCAAAATACAGATCCTTGTAAAGTACACACACACACACACACATATACATATATATCCTTGATACACACAATCTTATCTCGAGGTGCGATATATATATGTAATACACACACACACACACACATATATATATATATATATAGATGGTATAACGATGGTAGAAGCATGAAAGAATTATAAAAAAAACCTAGTATTCACTTTATTTGTACTTTAATATCAGTGACATTCGCTCGGCTGTGATATATATACTATTAAATAAGTGTATTTATCGTTTGCAACTTATCGTAGAATTTTTAAAAGTAACGTGAAGAGCAGTCGACGAGGGATAACCTAAATTCACACACATATGTATGTGTCTGAAAAAGTACGGTGATTTTAACAATTTTTTATACGTTGTAGAAAATCATGTTTCGCATTTTTTATTTTACTAACGCAAGATTTATTTATGACTTATAATCTTGAAATTATTTGTGATGAAATTTTCTATGTCATCTTTTATTTAGATTATACTTTGCGTTAGTTTGATGTAAATTTTGTGTTGTTATTTAATTTTCTTTAATTTATTATTAAAATAACATATGTCGCCTTGCAACATTAATATATTTATGTATGGAAATTAATTAACAAAATTATTTGATAATACTAGGTGAATTAGACAAGAGATGGATAGAGATTTACAATCTTACAGTCTAATAGTATAACAAATCATGATATAATCAATGAGAATTCGTTGTGTATGTAAAAACGTAAGTAAAAAAATACAACACATTTTTTTAACTATAGTTATGTAGAGCATTCAATGATATAAATTTTGAATATCTGTACAAAAATATGCAGTGAAATATATATATAGCTTTATTCTCTGTAATTTTAATAAAATATGTTATGCATATATTAAGAGCATATGTTATTGAGAATATTTTGTTTAAAATTGAAATGAAAGAAAAAATTATTATCAATTATTTTTCTAATGACAACTTTTTATTACTTTTTAATATAGCTATACAAAATGATTAAAATAGGATTAAAAGGAGTTAGACAAAATATATATACATAGTGCTCATAAAAATAAATTTTAAAACTGCTAAAATTTTAAGTAATTTTATTGTACTACAGTTTAGTTTAGTCTCTATATGTATTGATTATATTTTATTCAATGTACTATATGTTTCTAAATATTCCTTAATTTTTTTTTAGATTGCTTTATATATTGCTCTCTACATGTGACTTGTAATAAAAATGCATGCACTTGTGTTTAAAATGTAGTATATTAATCATCTTTTTATTCCAGTATAGTTAAAATGGCAAGAAGCAAAACGCAAGAGAAACACGTAAAGATAAAAGCTAAACTTGCAAATGCAAGCTCTGCTAAAACAAGTAAAAGTTTATCATTATCGATGGGTTCTATAATCGCTGTTATATGTATTGGCATTGCAGTTTGGTTTGGATTCAAAGGATATCTTGAAACAAGAGTAAATACTCCATATAATGTAGAAAAGGCATGTAATTTGTGTCAAATAATACAAATATGATTATGCATGATAATGTAAAATTATGTTATGAACTAATATCTTTAAAAATATAAGAAATAGACTCTTGATTGTTACATTATAATTTATTTTTGCATTTTATACATTTTTATTTTTTTTAATTTTTTAAATATATATAAAAAGCCTTTTTATTATATGTATGGAAATTTGTCAGAATTTTTAAACTAGTACAAAGATACATGCAAAAATTATTTTTTTGAAATTTAAATAAAAACAAGTACTTGTGCATTAATTAAAATTTGATAATGTACAGTATAAAAAAAGAGAATTTTTTTACACGAGAAATGTAATTATTAAATTTCTATTTCTTATTCCAGAGATATTAATTTATAACATACTGAAATATATATATGTATGTATATGTGATCAAATGTTTGTAGATTTATAATATCGAATATTGTTTGAAAATTAGCTAGTTATCGCATCTGGTTTGGATATTCCGGACAGATATTGGGGTACTTATAGACCAGGTGTATATTTCGGATTAAAAACAAGAGATCCACATTCTTTGGTGACTGGTTTGATGTGGTATTTTCCACGTAATTTACGGTACGATGGAAATGGATTTAGACATTGGTGTGAACAAGGTGATAAATTAAACAGGTACTGTAAGCAAAATCTCTAATTTTAATCGAATAAAGATTTTGTCAATATGGCTAATCAAAATTTAAATTTCAGATATGCATGGCTGGAACATGATGGACGAACGTTTGGTGTTCAAGAAATAGTAGATAATTCTGTAGTTATAAAAACAACATTCGTCAAGAGACCTGGCGGATATCACGGTGGTGACTGGACGGCAAGAATTGCGGTATCACCGGTACCAGAGAAGGAACATGATAGAAGGGAAGAAATATCGCTGTTATTTTATACCGCTATTGAGGAAAGCACAAAAGGTTGGATAAAGGCTAATCTAGGAGATTACAATCGCTTGACAGGAATAGAGGGAAACACGCAAGGATTAGGATCCTTCGTTATAAACCTAAATTTAATAAATGGTACTGTAGAAGAACATTCCTTTCTAGCAACAGTCGCACCTGGTCTAAATGTATTAAAAGAAACTGTTTTGCAAAATCTTCGCATTGCAACTGAAAAGGGATCTATGGAGAAACATGTAGTTTTAGCCGGTGAACAACTGCCTTTGTTGTCTGATGGCAAGAAAGAGGATCCAAATTTTATAGTCACTCAAATAACAGGAAAGGCTCCTTTCGAGATTGAAGTTAGTTACGAATCTGGCAGTTTTAGTAATAGAATAGACAAACTAACAGGTGAGAATTACGACGAGGCTCTCGAGAAGCAGAGACAACTATTCTCGAAAAAATTTGAGAGTGTTTTCGGATTAAAGTCCAAGGGATACACAAACGACGAAATAACATTTGCAAAGATGGCATTCTCAAATCTTCTAGGTTCAGTAGGTTATTTCTATGGAACTTCACAAGTGCAAAGTTCATATACCCAGGAACCTGTGCCTTATTGGAAAGCACCTTTATACACCGCTATACCCAGTAGAAGTTTTTTCCCTCGTGGTTTTCTGTGGGATGAAGGTTTCCACGGTTTACTCATCTCAATCTGGGATACAGAGATAGAATTGGACATTATAAGTCATTGGTTTGATCTGATGAATGTCGAAGGTTGGATCCCAAGAGAGATGATTTTGGGCCAGGAAGCTCTGGCTAAAGTGCCCCAAGAATTTGTTACACAGATCAATACAAACGCTAATCCGCCCACATTCTTCTTAACACTGGACTTTCTACTTCAACATAAAGAAGAGGAATTGAAATATAATTTTAAGTTGCTTGACAAATTATATCCACGATTACAGGTGTGGTTCTCGTGGTTCAATGTCACGCAAATCGGCGATCTACCTGGCACATACAGATGGCGAGGCAGAGACGAAACGACTAATAAGGAATTGAATCCCAAAACGCTCACATCTGGTCTGGACGATTATCCCAGGGCTTCCCATCCAAATATCGCCGAGCGTCACGTCGACTTGCGTTGCTGGATCGCGTTCGCCGCTCGGGTTATGGCTAGAATCGCCGAAACGTTAAATTATCCTGCCAAAAAGTATCAAGAAACATTCCAGTACCTATCCGATAACAACTTGTTGAATCAATTGCATTGGTCACCGAATGCCCAAGTGTATTCAGATTATGGTTTGCATACCGATAAAGTAGTCTTACGGAAATCCGTAACACCATCTCACAAACAGCGATCCCATACCCAATCTCCGGAAATAATACGCGTCGTATTGGAGGATCCGTCTTTAAAATACGTCGATACGACCTTTGGATATGTGTCGCTATTCCCTTTCATTCTGCAAATCATCGAGCCTGATTCGCCACAATTGGGGAAGATTTTGCAAGATGTACGGGACCCCGATTTACTGTGGACCAAATACGGATTGCGCTCGCTCGCGAAAACATCGCCGCTGTATATGAAATATAATACGGAATTTGACGCGCCTTATTGGCGCGGTCCTATCTGGATAAATCTCAATTATTTGACAGTACGAGCCGCGCATCATTATTCTAATGTGAGAGGCCCACATCAAGAAAACGCGAGAAAGATATATGAAGAATTGAGAAAAATTTGATACAAAATATTATTAAGCAATATAAAAAACCGGATACTTGTGGGAACATTATGATAGCACTGAGGGGGATGGCAAAGGCAGTCACCCTTTTACTGGCTGGACTTCTTTGGTTATACTGCTTATGGCAGAAATATATTAGTTATTTTTCAATGTGTGTGCGCGAGTGTATGAATCTATGAATGTACATACAAACATACATATATATTTTTTTCAATCTTATCAGAAACTTTTTTATCGAAAGTGCAATCAAAAGATACTATGAAATCTTAGCCTAAAATTATTATACTAAAATCTATTGAGCATTATATATATGTTAGGCAAAAGAGAATAGCAATTATACAATTATTAATATATTATTTTTCATTATTTAATTAAAAATATTGTTATCTTATATTGTGTTATATTGAGAATATTACTATTTTATTTAAAAGAAAAGTGTGTAACCATGAAGAGATGTGCACATAGAGTGTTTATATAATTTGAAAATAATGTACAATGTGTATCTATTGTATTATATTCTTTCCTTTTTTTCTTTCCATTCCTCTTTCTCTTCTTTTCTCTCGACATATTGTATCCACAAAAATTAAAAGTATGTATCTTTCAAATAGTAGATGACGTTTAAATATAATAATGGATAACATTAGTTTTCTTCTAGTACTATATTGTAACAATAGAGATTATTCTGTATTGAAAATGTACTTTTGATGAAACTCATTTTGAAATACTATATAAGTGAATTCAGTTTATAAATACATGTGTAAATTTGCAATCTGTAAAATATAAAAAATCGTACAATGTAGGTATTATTGTGTATCAATTAAGGAATAATACTATCGTAATTATCAGAAGACAGGAGATTATTTAAAATCTAGACTGTGATTCATTAAAAACTTATTTCGAGTTATTTTTGAAGAAAAACGTCATTGTCATTGTAATATAGTTCGAATTAATAATAAATAGTAATAATTAAAGAAAAATCATTCTTTTTATAATTGTGCACGTACTCTCTCGCTAATTTAGAAATTATTAAGTGTCTGCAAACACAATATTAAATACAATAAAATACTGTTATTTATATTGATCAAACATTGATTAAAATAAAAACCGATGATTCCTTTTAATTATAAAGTTTATTAATAAACGGAATTAATTGCAGTCATAGACTATAAATATAGGTTATATAGGATAAAATAAGCAGAGCATTAGCTGTCAACACATTATCTTCTTTAAATAAGATTGCATTCCGTTTGTGTCTATTTCTAAACTTTCCCTCGCCAATATCGGCAACTAATGCTTCGTCCATGCATTTTATATTTAAATACTAAAAAAATACCGACATTTAGCAGATTATGTGCTGTCAAGTCTATCTGTCTTTTTCTCTCAAAGTAGAAACGAAGAGCAACCAATAGAAATGTTTATCTTTCTCTTTCTACATATATGTATATCTTTCTGTTTTTATCAGAAAAGGATAGCAATACCGGTTAAATAATTGTTTATTTGACAGATATTTTTTTCCATTTACAATGGGGATGCAATTATGTATTTTTTATTGTGTTTTAGCCGATAAAATATAAAACAATAATTGCAATATAGATCTGCTCGTTTTGGTGCCTTTGTCTGCACCTTCTACACTTGAATTCTACGTTCTTTTCATTTACACATATTATATTTATATTATATAATATAAATATAAATAAAATAAATATAAAGATAATAGATAATATATAGATATCAAGATAAGATATAATATGTAAAGAGAGAAGAGATTAGATAATTTAATATAATATAGAATTAGATAATGTATAAATGAAATAGAAGAGATAAGATAGAAGAGAGGATAGATTATAGAGATATAGAAGATAATAGAGGATAGAGAAGAGATAGTATATAGAAAGATAAATATAAGAATAATATGGAATATATTATATATTATATAATATAAATATATATATTATATATATTATATTATTTTATATTATATTATATTATTGTATAACATACAAATGTCGCTCATATATTTAACAATAATAATCCTAACCTAATCTAACCTAAATGTACGAGAGTTTTCTGCAGTTGGTACTCCTGCTTGCGACGCACTTCACTCCTCGAAACGATCCTCGCTTCGCGGGATCGCTGATGACTCCTTCAGACGTCTGCAGACGCCTTGCTTGCCCTTGCCTCGATCGGTGGACAGGTGTATGCACGTAGATTCGTGACTTCTCGATTGAAATAAAGTCGCGCGGACGTCTCCGTTCGTATTATGGAACCATACGACGTAATTGTCAATCAGCCGGTGGTTATCGATAACGTAAGTGGCTTGCGTTTCATTTTCTTCCCGTATCCATGCCACCAAAAGGCACGAGGAAGAAGGAAAGAGAGAGGAGGAAACGGAAAGAGCGATGTGTCAAATTGTCAAATTTCATTGAGCAACGTTGATAAGAGTATCGTTTAAAAGAACGTTCGGTTTTTCTCTGCATTATTATTTGCATTTATATTATATTTTGATGCGTACGAAAATGCTGGTGGAAATAATTATCATCGATATCATCAGCAATCGATGATGACATCAACGAGTTACATGCAAATTTTTCCCAGTTTAGAATTGAAAGTGCTATATATACTCCTGTTTTTCTGTTTTCAGGGATCTGGTGTGATCAAGGCGGGGTTTGCGGGTGATCAGATACCAAAATGCAGATTTCCAAATTAGTAAATATCAAAGAGAACGCAAGAATATTAATTAAACATTTATGACAGTGCCTCTTATTTTCGATTGACTGAAAGATAGCAAGTTATTCTAAAAATATGTACATGTTTTTATTATAAGAACAAAAACGTTGTCGGTTAGCAAAAAGATGATAGTTTAAACATTTTAATTAATCACGACTTAAGGACTATGGCCATAATACATTTTTAGTTAGTGTAGATAATGATGTGCTTCATTTAATAATAAATTAAAACTTTTAACTTACAATTAGATATATTCAATACTATTAGAATAACTTGTCATCTGAAGAACTTGTAAAAGAATTTTAGGATAAACTATTCTATTACTTGAATCTTCATTACTTTAATTTATGCATTGATGTATAATATTGATATATAATATTGTCAATTAGAATGAATTTAACACATAATTTCTTTCCTTAGTATTGGAAGGCCAAAACATGTACGTGTTATGGCTGGTGCTTTAGAGGGAGATCTGTTTGTGGGTCCAATAGCGGAGGAGCATCGTGGCCTTTTATCCCTTCGATATCCAATGGAACATGGCATAGTCACAGATTGGAACGATATGGAACGTATTTGGTCTTATGTTTATAGTAAAGATCAATTAGCTACATTCAGCGAGGAGCATCCTGTCTTATTGACAGAAGCACCTTTAAATCCAAGGAAGAATCGTGAGAAGGCAGCTGAAATATTTTTTGAAACGTTTAATGTTCCAGCTTTATTTGTTTCTATGCAAGCTGTACTGAGTTTGTAAGTAACTTTTGACACACATTAAGTAGGAAAAATAATTTATAAGTCATTTTTTTACTTCATTTCTGACAATCAAAAGATTTTTTTGAGGATTATACAATAATTATGATCTTTCTTTACTGGTATTTTTATTCTTATTTACTAGTATTGATTCTTTTTTTAAGTTAATTTTAAGATTTTTAGCAAATATAAAAACCAGAGAATTTATATTATATCTTTTATTATTTATTAATACAGATATGCAACAGGAAGAACCACAGGAGTAGTTTTAGATGCTGGCGATGGTGTCACACATGCTGTACCTATTTATGAAGGTTTTGCTATGCCTCATAGTATAATGCGAGTTGATATAGCAGGACGTGATGTTACAAGGCATCTTAGATTACTTTTACGCAAGGAAGGTATTAATTTCAAGACTACAGCAGAATTTGAAATTGTCAGAATAATTAAAGAGAAAGCGTGCTATCTTGCTAGCAATCCTCAAAAGGAAGAAACAATAGAAACAGAAAAGTTTCAATATGTATTACCTGATGGCAGTCACTTGGAGGTAATAATATCGGTCAAACAGAGCTATTATTTAATTATACAGAATAAGATATAAAATATCACTTTAAAGACAAAAATATTTTTACATGTAAATCATAATTTAATATAGATTGGTCCAGCACGATTTAGAGCTCCTGAAGTGTTATTTAGACCAGATCTGATAGGTGAAGAATTGTCCGATTTGAGGGTCTTCATTATGAAGTATTACACAATTTGGATTTCTGCTTAAAATATCCATATTGGAAACCTTTTCAAATTTTTTATTTTATTATCATAGGTATTTCATATTATTTTAATATATATATATATATATTTTGTATATATATATATATATATACATATATTTTGCAAAGAGACTCTCTTAATTCTTATCTTTAAATAATAATATAACAAACTTTTTTTCATATTTTAGGGTTTTGGTGACAGATTATTGTCAGAGATTCGTAGGATGTCACCAAAGGACATTAAAATAAGGGTAAGGAAACGAGAAATAAAGAATGAAAAAATAAGATTTTTATATAAATATAAAATAAAATTTAGAGTATATTTAAAGTAATTAATATAGAATATAGACTAAAATATATATTTTTGATACAACAGATATCTGCACCTCAAGAACGATTGTATAGTACTTGGATTGGTGGTTCCATTTTGGCTTCTTTAGACACTTTCAAAAAAATGTGGGTGAGTAAAAGAGAATTTGATGAAGATGGTATACGGGCTATTCATCGTAAGACATTTTAAATTTAATTTGGAATACCTCTCGAGAGTGTTATATATCGCGAATACGTTTATTATATCACAATACGAAATAATGGCACACTCGGCACGATAACAAAATATATCGCCGGTAAACATATTCTTAATTATTTATTTAGGTAATCGCACGCGCGCGCTCGTATAATTTCTATCGTATTTCAGGAGATTATTATTTCTGCATTTCTAAACATATTTTTAATTGTAAGACTTTTGATGGAGTCTTTATTGTTGTTATTTGAATTATATTTTATGAATCTATTGGAATTATGTCAGAAATCATGAATTTATCTCTTGCAAAATACGTTGAAATAAATATTTTAAAAATTAATTTTTTATTTTGTATATCACTATTTGTGTTTGATATACATTGTGTTTAATATATATTAGTAAAATATATTTTAATAAAAAAAATCGTTTTTCTTTGTACATTAAATAATGATTATAAAACTAGATTAATTATCATAAAGTATATTTTTCTTGGAAATATATAATATACATGCAAATGCATTAATATGCATTTTCAATGAAAATAATAAAATATATTTTGTCTATTTATACTATTAAATTTGAATAATGCAATAACAATTTTTTTACGTATTTTGCAAGAATAAAAATTTCTAGAATTTAGTGGCTGCCATAATTTAATAGCTGCAATAAGAAAATGGGAAGTTTTAAGGCCAGTTAAAATATGAAAGCAGTTTGTAATGTCAATATAACTTTATTTTGATAATTAATATATATATGGTGATTTTGATATATAATTAGATATATACATTGGATATTTCTGCAGACTGCAAGACACAATGCAAAAAAAAGAAAATAAAAAGAAGCATATTAATATCATTTATAGAAATGTAAATAATATCTTTTGGAATCAGATGAATTAAAGTCAAACGTAAAAAATCATAAATTTTCAATTTTAAAATAAATATTTTTTATTTTTATTTTATTTTTGTCCTCAGTACTTGTCATATTCTATGTTGTCTTGTACAATTCTTATTTAAAAATGTGCTATATTTCGTCGATTTAATATAAAGAAATAAAATATTCTGTAAATTTTAAGGGCAGCAACATTTATGCAAAGCATTTGTAAATATGTATGCTTTTCCTAAAATAAATCTATATAGTCTTTATAAATGTGCATATGGGTAAAATATAGATTTTTACAACTGTATTGTCACATTGAGATTTGTAGTTTTACATTAAATAATTGTTTCTAACGTATTTTGTATCGCATAAAACTATTGATTTGTGAAATGTATTAAATGCTGAAGGAACATTAAGATACTCTTTATTTATATATTTTAGCTGTGATAAGAAAAAGAATAGGTAGTAGACTTGTCAGAAAATTTATTGACATTTTCGTCATTGCACAAAACAAGATAATTATATTGAAAAATAATAAGTGGCAATATACAATTTTAAATGAGATTTAATCATGTAATTATTTGTTGCAATTACATGTGATGTATAATGTATTTGTACTATTCTCCGAAAAGAAATATCACAAGCATCAAAAAAACTTGTTGGCAATTATTACATTTTAATATCATATATAATGAAAAATAAACAATGAAATACTATACAGTGTAAAAAATGCAATGTTTAAAAATGTTTTAATATTTTATTTAAAGGAGAATTTGTGCAAGAAGATCTATATTTTAAAATTAATGTAATAAGCATTTGTATCATGTTTAATTATTTAACAAATGTATTTTTATTTAAATAAATAATTGTACGGTTTATACAAGATACATGCACATAAAATAATCCATTAAAGGAGTCGATCGTAATCGTGCTGATTTTATATTTTTGTTAAAATAATATTTAATATATTCTATCATTACACAATATATATTATTAAATCAGTGATATTAGAATACGCTATTTAGCATTTTTCAAAAAATGGATTTTTTTACATTTTGCCATAGTATATATATTTATCTAGTATAATGATACTTCAGTATAAGTTTTTAATACACATGCGTCAGTGACCAACTACAAATATGGCTGCGCCTATCGTATTGACGGTCCATGTGATAAATATTTATATCATCGAGATAAATCAATTTTGTAATAGATTATATTATGAGTGATTATATATCTTTCTCCTTTTTTTATATAAAAATTATATATATAATTTCTTATGCATACATATATATTAATTTTATTTCGGAATAGCAATATTATATTATAATATGATCAAAATTCTCCCTTTCTTTCATATATAAGAATTATATACATTATTTCATATATAATATAATTTAATTTAATTTTAATTTTATTTTATTTAAAATAAATTTCTATCCGGATTCTAGTAATGTTCAATATTATTAATTTTATTTTGGAATAGCAATATTATATAATAATATGATCAAAATTCTCCCTTTCTTTCATATATAAGAATTATATACATTATTTCATATATAAATTTAATTTTATTTTATTTTATTTTATTTTAAAATAAATTTCTATCCGGATTCTAGTAATGTTCTGTTCGATTGTAATAGTAGTTTTTTTTTTTTTTTTCGTGCTGAAACGGTGAATCCACAAGGCGCGACAAGTTTGAATGATTGGTCGGATCTGCCGGCGCGTTCTATTGGTCGCTCTCTGGCGATCTTTGGCGTTCGGGCGGAGTCGGGCGCGCCTTCGGTGACGGCGACTGACGTCATGGCGCAAGATGGCCGCCGGTATCGGGAATGGTGTAGCGTAGACGAGGCTGGGCGGTAGAAACGAATCCCGGAGAATAGGTGTGTCGGTGTGTTTCGGCGTCGCGTGCGAGATAACACGCCGTCGGGATGATGCCCAGCCGCGTCCTCGTCGTCGTCGTCGTCGTCGCGGGCTGAACTTGGAGTCTCGGCGCCGCTCGCCAGCGCAGTGCTCCTCGTACGAATCCGTACGTACAAATAGGCGCCGCGTCCGGTCTCGTTCTCCTTCTCTCTTTTCTTATTCTCCCTTTTCTTATTTTCTCTTTCCTCTCTCTCTCTCATCGCTTCGTGAACATAGATAATCAAATGTGTCACGAGATCTCTTCCCGGGTACGAGAGATTCTCTCTTCCGCGAATCCCTGTGTATTTTTTCGCGAGGGAGACGGAGCTCGGCGATTCAAAGAGAACGAAAGGAGTGAAAATCGGAGCACGTAGAGCTTGACGTTCGCCGAAAGATCCGAAAGAGCGAGGACGAGGTCTTCTTCCGGGTGATAATCACGCTTCGTGGGAGTCCTAAAAGCCCGATCGAAAATTGCGATAACGAGGCAGAGCGAGATGTGTCGAGGTTGAGATAGAAGACGTCGTCCTCTTTCTTTCCTCTCTCTCTCTCTCTCTCGCTCGTCGCGAGTGTTTCGTCAAATTGCCCGGGGTGCATTCGGTATTGCTATCGCTCTTTTTATTCCACTATTACGATTATTATTCACACGTAATCGAGCAAAAAATTGCTTTGTCAAAACGGAGCAAATAGCGAGATATCAATCGAGCAGAAGAGAGAGAGAAATAGAAATATAGTGTCAAAAAAAGTCAAAGTGTACAAGAATTTGAAGAAAAGGATGAAGATAGACCGGTAGAAGAGAGGGTGGGAAAGTGAAGAACCGCTCTTCGAGCAAGATCCATTTTAAAAGAGTAAATTTGGAAATTGGAGCGAGATTGGATGGTTTAGTATTTTGTGAAAGGACAGAGATTTCTTCGAGAGCGAATAATCGATCGCAAGATTGCGCCTTCGAGATTCGTTGAGGAGAGAGGAAGAACGAGGATAAGAATACGTAAAGAGGGAAGAAGTTATTTCCTGGCGACCGAGTCTTATTTTTGAGAGATAAGAGAAGAAGACGGCTATTCGTGATCGAAATGTGTCAATTGCTCTGTCAATCTATTTATCATGCTGCTAAATACGAATCGGGGACCTGCTGAATTCAAATGAAGAGGTGGATCGATTTTGCCGAATTTGGCACAGAGATGCGATACAAGTTTGCGCATTCGATCGCAGGATATTATCGTGCCACTGAAACCAGGAAAGGAAGAAAAGGATATTTCGAAGAAGCATTTCTTCCAAATACCTGGACATTCGATAAGGAAGGAACGAAGAAAAGGGCTGATAAGATAAACGACTGATTGCGAGCGCCAGTTTTTTTTTCTCTCTCTCTCTCTCTCTCTCTTTCTCCTGACTAAAAGATCGCAGTGACTCGCATAAATAAATCTATATTTTAATATTAATAATAATAATAATCGGCAAAATAAATGCGCGAACAACTCGGGGGTCGCAACGTGTAGCTGTCATCGAAGTCGAGAAGCGCGAGAAGAGCAAAATGACCGAGTGAGGAATCGGTCGGCTAGAGAGAGAAAGAGAAAGAGAGAGAGGGGGTGAAGAAGGGGGGGAGCGCGAGAGAACGAGATAAGCGCGATCGGGAATAACGAGATATCGGGTCCAGAGAAGCGCGCGCAGGAGTCCCTGCCGGTTTCCGCTTCCTCGTCTATATATCTCCGTATCTGTCTCCTGCGCGCGGCCGCGCATGCGCATGCGCGCGCGCGCGTGTGTGTATTTGATTTGTGCGCGCGGCCTCGCGTGCAGATTGACAGCACGTGCGCGCGCGCGCGCACGTGTGCGCGTACGTGCGATTCACCGGGTGACGTTTTCTCCGTAGATCCGGATGCGGGTGCGTGAGTAACACAAGAAAAAAAAGGAGAAATCTAATTTTGACAAGAACGGCCACGCTGTTGACAACGGCGCAAAATGTGGAACATGATGTGCGATGTGATGCCAACGATCGCGGAGGACAGCATGAGCCAGCGGAGCTCGCAATTCTCCGGCGAGGACGGAAACTTTGAGCAGTTGATGGTGCAAATGCTGGACGAGCGTGACAAGATGATGGAATCGATGCGCGAGCATCAGGAACGGCTACAGGAGATGGAGGCGCGGCTGGCGGAGGTTGAGAAGGAACGGGACGCCCTGAACCGCCAGCTTAACGCGAATATTCCTCAGGTAAATCTTTTATTTATCTCTTTATCGAGTCGCATCTCTTTATGCAGCCGCACTGAAACAAAATTTTGTTAATTCTTAGAAGTATTATTTATTTCAATACTGTCAAATAAATCATTTATTTGAAATTAATAATATTTATTTGATATTACAAATATTTATATAAGAAAATCCTTTTCAAAACAAATATATGATTCATTTGACAGTATTGAAATAAATATTTGTTAATTTAACAATATTTTTAGTGCACGTATAACTCGAAATACGATAGTAACCATTATAAATCTAAACGTACACAAAGGCAGCGACTCTTCTCGCGCCATTTAAAACAGCTAGAATTTTTTTTACCCTTGAAATTAGTATTATAGATAAAACGCGAGCGATCGTAGACCGACAATCGGTCCATAAACACGTTTACGTAACGATTATAAAGTGTTGTACAAGTGACTTAACTCAAACTATACTTGCTCGTGCGTTATCTTTGCAGTTGTCCCACTTTCCGTGAGATATGCACGTTACTAACACCGTAATTAACTTCTTTAGTGCGTTTTACTTTACCGTTTAAGCTCAGTCGTGCTCCTGTCTTTCCTCATAAAATGTACATACATTCGCCATTATTCCCATTTCAATTTAGCTTCCCTTGGGAAAAGGGATTATTATTATCCACTCTCTCGCCTTTTTTCTTTTTCTTTATCTCACACATTAAATAAACATTCGAGGTATCTCGGATTGTTTTTACTGACAATGAATCTTTTCGCCGATAGGCCTAATACCGTAATAAAAAACAAGTTTCACTTTTTCGATGATAAATAATCGAAAGTTTATTAATTTTCTCCCATCAAGTTTGAAAGATGCAAATATACGTACGCGTGTATATGTATATTTTAAAATTTATTTATTTATTTTATAGTATCCGGGCATTTAACGATTCATATTTCTGTAATGTGTTCTTGAGAAATATATTTTTTCGCAAACGGAACGAATCAATCATCTTAAACGTATTGAATATACACATATAAATATACATATCATTGTAATAAATATAGGTAATGCACGCAAGATACAACAAAATTATTATCTAGGAGAAATTAACTCCAATTTCGAATATCTAGACAATATTAGATATTGATCACACTTTGCATTTAATTAAAATGAAAATCTTTCCTAGACTTTTACAATTTTTAAAAAAATATTCTAATCCCCGAGCACTATTAATATAATAAGATATTGGTTTTAATCCGAAAATAATTTTTCTCGAGTAGAGAGATTTATTTAAATATATGAATATATAATTGAGAGTAGAACGAAAAATATACAATACAAATATTTATAATTGATAAAAAATTGTGAGATGTTTTTTCGCAAAGAAAACGTTTGCTCGAAGCTATAATATTTATTCGCGAAGAAACATACATAAAGTGTGTGTATTCATCAATTTTTTATCGTCTTTTTTTACCCAATGATGTAAATCTTTTGTCGTCTAACAATAAGAAGTTCCTCGATGGCGACATGCTTTTTATGTATATGCCTCGTAGGAAACGGTGGTTGCAAAATCTTATAGAAGCATCGTAGCATTATCTCGAATAGAGAATGTGTCTTCCATTTTTTCTCATTTTATTTCTTAGCATTTTACATACGTTTTTGCTGTAGTAAATGTGAAAATGATTGAATAGATAGAAGTAACGAGAGATTTTATCGCAGCCTCTTTCATTTAACATTATATATAATTGAGGAAAACACGGGTGAAATAACGAATTTATTAGTGAAATGACATTAAAAAAATTACTTTGAGCTATATCTATCATTTTGTAGTAATTATAATTTAATTGAATTGGAGATAGAAAAGTCTCTGTTATCTCTTTATTAAATTCAAATTAATTCAAAATTTTGTTGAAAAAACATTATATTTTTTATCCATTAATATCATATGTATACATAATGTGTTGTAATATTTTTTCAAAAATATTTGAGATTGTAGAGTAACGATTAAATAGTATTATCGATAAATATCTTGCTAATTATTTTCTGTTTGTTTCATTTTTGTTTTATACATATAATTTTTCAATATAAAATTTTTATTTTATTATACCAAATTACATAATTACACTTGTAATAAATATTAACTATTATTTCATGAAAAAAGAGATTCTCTCACATGTCAAACGTTCGCGCACGCAACATAAAACTTAATATTAAATTGAAAGTATGCTGTCTTCTAAGCTGGGCAATAGAGCCAAGGAAACGAAACGAAAAATTAATTAAACGGAACTGTATCTCAATTTGAGATCCCAAAGTTCCACATATAAATTAATTTCGAAACTTACATATGGAGAAATAAGCAAGAAAAATATAGGTCCGAAAAGTCGCTGAAGCGGGAATCGAACCCGCGTCTTTCACTTTCCGGGCGACTGCTCTTACCAACTAAGCTATTCAGACCCTTTAAATTGAAAATTTTATTTCCATTTAACATTTACATCTAGAAAAAAAAAGAAAACTTTATATTTAAATCTTATTTAAAAAGTGATGATATGTGTATATGTGCACAGAAAGTTTTCCGTATGTATTTTGTATACGTTTCTCTATATTTTCTAAAAATTAATACAAAATAAATTAGGAAAATAAGTATTTTCGATTATACGCGGATGATTAATTAAGATTTTTAAGAGTCCTGCTTTTCTGCAAACAGAATTTTTATTATAATTTTTTTCTTAAGCTTTTAAAATAGTATTTATTTTTGAATAAATTTTTTTATTAGTCTTAGACTAGAAACAATATAATTATTTTGAAATTTAATGTCATAAATCTGAGAAATTTTTGATGTCATAGATTTTTAAGTTACGTTATTGAAATATCATTTGTATGATAAACGTGTAAAAATTGTTTTCTTGGAAAACTATAATTGCATCGTGAAGAGTTAATTTAAACTAATAAGCGAGAAAAGACAAAAAAGTTACTTAATAATTGTAATATTTTTTAAATTGTTGAGGCAATTCTTTCTTATTAATTTATTAAGTATTGTTCAAACTATTGTACCCATAATATTTTATTAATTAATGATGACCAATAAAATTTCGTTGGTATGATTAATGTATCTCTAGGAGCGAAGAAATATTCCAATACAATGTCAGGAATGTTAATTATGTACTTAATTATTGAAATATCTCGAACTCTCATCTTAATTAGGGTACGTACATTAGGGCGTTTATTAGATCGATCAATTAATCTATAATATATATATTACTTTATCTGTATAGGCTATAAGCAAAATACATACGTTTATAATTTATATTTTATCTATATAAGCATTTTTATGTATAAATATACTTAAAAGGCTATGACATCCTAAAAAAGGAAAAAAAATTTTATATACCTACATTTCACAATAAGTGTCAAATGTGAGATACAAATACAAATAATTTAAAGCAAACTAATGTATATATGTATTATACATTTAGGCATATAAAATGTCGTAGCACTTGTCATATCATTGCAATTTTAACTTTAACTATATATTCTTCAATAAACTTTGAATCAATTTTTTTAACGATAAAATATATAGACTTTAATAATTTCCGAATTCAATAAATTGAAAAGTTTGCTTTAACTTTATGACAACTAATAGATACTACTACTAATTATATCTTTTCAACATTTTCAAAATAGACTTTTAAAAAGATACGATTTTACATACATTAGATAATAATCTTGCATCCCCAATATAATTTATTTAATTAATTTATAATATTTTATAATTCAATATTTTATTTTTAAAAAAGGGAAACTATAAATAATATCTTTAAACCGTATTATGTAATATGCGTGTACATGCGTGTCTGGTATCGATGCATCTCCATCGGAAGAACAAAAAGCTAGTTATCGATCCATTCGGTGGACGATTAGCTTTTACGTACCAGGATAATACATAATGAGTGTCTCAATAATGCGGAAGGTCGGAATGAAATTGGATTTTAATTTCAAGTGACACACATCACATTTTCACTTTAATGAAACATATTTTGTTTCGAAGCCATGATTAAAAAACTACGTATGAATGAATTCTTGTCAGAATATATTTATAATTTAATTTATATAAATATATATAAATTTAATGTTAAAAATGATAAAAATTAAATTGTAAGCATATAAAATTGTGAGATAATAATATCAGTTTAAATGATTTATATTATTCTTACATGCCTTTTGGGCTGATAATTTTTGCATTAGATTAAATTAAATAAAACCCTTAATATGAATTAGGATGATTAAATGAAATTGAAGTTTTAGCGTGGGAGCGAGCGGGTTTGCACTGTAGGAATCAAGATGACATCTCCAATTCTTAACTCTTATGTACTCTTGGATACTTGAAACATGTAGTTTAAACGAGGAAATCGATGTTGGGAAAATATTATATAATTGCACAAATTACGTAATTAAAGCGTGAATGTGTTTTTGTATAAAGATATTCTACCATATCAATAGTTATACATACATGTCACGTCACACTTGAATGAGAATGATTAGCACTAATTATACGGTTTTCTATAAATGTCATAAACACATGTTCAAATATGTATATAAGACATATACATATAATACTGCAAATCGTATTGATCCTTTCATAGACCTGTTGCTCATCCGTTGAAACAGAAACGAGTTTAAAGGATTCGACCAGTTAGCACGTCTCTACTTAGCATAGCGATACTGAAGAGTTTAGAACCTGATAATTAGCTAAAGAATAAGAAAGCCTAAGCAAACTAACCGAAGAAAGAATGAGATTGAAAAAAGAAAAAGAGGCATATCTTAATAATTTATATTTTTTATGAAATTCTTATCGTTCCCATCTATATTTACGTTAATATATTATTAGCACAATAGGTGTTACATAATATATAAACTTTGATTTTATTCTATTCATTAAAGAAAAAATTGTTAAAAAGAAAATAAGATTAAAGATATATTGTATCTCCAAACTTTCAATGATACTTTTTTCACTATAGATTCTG